CTCGGGGGATCCAACTGGCTGTTTCAATATCCTTCTGGTGCTGCCGCCCGTGGGTGCCTGCCTGCTTTCTCGAGTCTCTACCACATTCCTTACCAGTTAGGTTGTGCTAAAGCCAATTCTTCTGCCTGTCCAAGGTTGTAAGGCTCCTCTCTTACTATTGTTCAGTTGTTTGTTCCAGGTGCTTTTCCACAATTTAGTTGTAATTCCAGATTGGTCCTGGGAGGAGGTCAGTGTGACTTCCATTCACTCCTCTGCCATCTTGATTTCTCATATATTCTTGAAGAAATGTCTATTCAAGTCCTTTGCCCATTCTTGATTTGGGTTGTTTGGGGTTTTTGTGTATTCTGGATATTAAACCCTTATTGCCAAATCCAAGGTCATGATGATAATCCTTGCTTTTTAAACTAGGCTGATTTTTATGGTGTCATTCATTTTATTGGGAGAGAGGTGTAGTGAACTGCTTGGTGTCAATATCTGGGCATCATTAGTGCTTCATATCAGAGATATCCAGCTACTAATCAATCACCCAGAAGCTCCATCCAGGTGAAGACTCCTCAGCCCTTTGTGCCCCTCCTCCCTGGTGACCCAGGGAGCCAACGTGAGCCTGACTTCTGGTCCTGTGTCCCAGGCTCCTCTCCATCAGGGGCACCACAGGATCTGATTTTCATTCTTTTGGAGCACTGGCTTCATCTCTGGTGCCCGCTTCTGCTGGTTGTGTGGTCTGACTCTTTTGTGAACTTTGCTAATGACTTCAGTGGTTTATAGAAATCTGGCTGCTGTGGGTGAAAGATTGCAGAGAATCTGGTCAACTCAATGAAGAATTTGCACCCAATGGGAAGAGAACAGTCTTTTATAGGAGCCAGTGGGTTTTGTATTTGGGCTTGGCTGAAATACAAAATGAGCTGAAATGTTTTAATTGAAGCTCTACGTACTCTATCTGGGTCAATATCTACATTTATGTGGCTGTGAGTGGGTAATATTTCCTTCCTTCCAAATTAAATTACACAGTTTCTTCAAAGAGATCTGTTTGGATTGGTTTAGAGCTAAGTAAGCCTTATATATTCCTAAAATTCCCAGAAATTAAGGAAATTGATCTTCTAATAATTTCAGTGCACTAAAAGATGTATTATTTAGGAAGCAACGCAAATGATTTAAGAATTTGAGTTCAGATTACTTAGGTAAATCTTTGGCAAATGAGATTAGTTTAATATTGTTGCATAGCTATGTCTTCTAAGTTATAAGCCTTAAATATAGTTTCAGCATACATTTTTATTCTAGTTGAGTGTTTTTCCTAAACTTGTATGGACTTATCAAATAAGCTAGCATTAGCTCTACCAGACGTTTAAAGTGAGGAAACATGACAATTTGTGTTTCACCAAAGTGAGTCATTATTCTGGCAAACTTTATTTCGACAGTAATTCTGTTTTGTAGTATGTAAACTTGGAAATAGTTACCAAGATCTTTGGGTAACTTAAACTTGTGAATTGATGCTAAATTGAGTTAATGAGTGGATTTATCTACTCAGATCATTTCTAAATAGGATACTGAAACATTAATTGCAGAGCATAACTGAAAGTTTGTATCATTTTATATACTTTTTGCCTCTCACTTTACATAATACAGAGAGGCTATGTATTTGGATCTGCTGGTGAATGTGTTCAGTTTTGCAACTTCAGGGTATGTATGGTTACAAACAGGAGATGTATATTCACAAGCTCTGTTAGCTGAACTGCTGAAGTATTACAAATGGTCATAACTCTCGAAACTCCTAGTTTTCTCTATAAAGTAGAAGTGACTGTGGGTAGAAGCTAAGTCAGTGTTTGTGAATGGGATTCTTCTCAGAGCCACAGTGGCAGAGGGACGGCCTTGTTTGCAGGGTGTGCAGGGCGGGTCTGTGTAGAGGGCAAGTGACACTGTTCTAGGAGGAGAAGGAAACTGCAGGAAAAAACCTGAGTACAAATGGAAGTCGTAGAGGTTCTCAGGAAGCGAACTGTAACTGGCCGTCCAAGCTGGCTAAAGTGTGATGGATTTATTTATAAGATTGTCAAAAGTTCTGATAACAAATACCCTGATGCAAAACTAGAAGTTGGTTTTATGTCTGTTAAAATCACAAAATCTTGGATTACTTATTTGCTTAGCAACAGGCTGTAAGAAATTTCTCTTTACCTTCCGGGGAATTGCCTCTCTAACAATGATTCTGTGTCTTAACAGAATTATTTCTTGTGCTTTATGATTTTACCATGTCCTTGATTATTTCCGAGGACAAGGGCCCCCACTTAAGAACTAAGGTTTTTTACAATCATGTTAACACTCTATGAGTACTTTTAAAATCTTTTATTGTCAGTTTAAATACATAGCCAAGCATAGTTTCCCAGTAACTATTGATCTGATCCTACTTAAGTGTTCAAACCTCCTGACAATTATTGACATTTTACCTTCCCCACATCAAATCCTAAGTGACATATTTTGCACCTAAAACTGATTTCCCAGAGGGCTCCTAAATATCACAAAGAATTTGTTCTTTTATCAAAAGAGATGTTCTAGAAATAATGAGGTTTATCTGATGTGTTGCTATTGATGAGTTGCATGGGAAGAGTTGCCAGATCAGAAGGGACGCCTAACTTTCCCTCGGCTAAATTTGTATGGGTAAAAGTTATTAATATAATTATTCCAGAAATTGCATGCTCTATGAGAAGTTTGTAGATGGCCCTCAATATCCACGCTATCTCTGGTATGTTTCTATTGATCGGAATCCAGATTGCTGCTTTGCCCAGTTTTAGACAAAATATAATGAATAAACCACAATTTCAATTACTCTTTAAAATGTTAAATTGGTTGCAACCTTCTTGAATTTGAATTTAGCGTCTTCTAGTAATCTATGATTTTAAACAGGATTTACATTACTTTCTAAGGAGTTTTAAGAATACGCAAATGTTTAGGACTTGCTCCATTCTTACTGAATCTCTTGATAAACTTGTCATATTCTTGGTGTATTCTGACTATATACTTGGTATATTCTTGGACTATTATGCCTCAGGATTATGACATGTTCAGGCTGAAGAATTTTGTCTCTGTAGAGATTATATTTATTTAGTTTCATAAAGTAAATGTCACATTTATTGTTCTTTAAAATGGGATTAGTAATTATACTTTGAGTCCCCAGCAGTAGATCCAGTTACAATTTCCTGAACCCTAGTCCAGAAACAGGTGATTGCTGAGGCTGCCAACCCAAGACTGAGAGGAACGAGAATGAATTACATAGCACTTGGTAGACCAGCGGGGAATGACGGTGGGTTTTGTTTGGAATATCACTGATGCTAATGCTGTTCTCTGGATATTAGGAGTCCCGGTCCCTTTCCCTTTTCCCTTAAGTTATATATGACTCATCATAATCTAGTCAACTCTGCTTTTGCAAACAGAAATGAAACCTTTATCTTTTTTTTCCCTGCCTGGCTCCTCCAGAATAAATACATACTGAGTGTTGTTTTGTTTTTTTTTTTTTTTAATGGCAATAGAGTCAGTTGCACAATTTTAGTAAGTTTGTCCTCCTCAGTAACAGGACTTAATTGAAACATTGGTCATGTAACCAAGAAGAGAGTTAAGAAATAAAATGGAGTCATTAGAGTCAAACTGCTAAATTAGCTAAAATAAAGTAGCTTGAGGCATGAGGAAACCGTCCTTATTTTAACTGGGAACTTAAATCTTTGAATTGTCCCGTCCCGCCCCCACCCTGGGATATACATCAGACTTGCAGGTAACCCTCCGCTTCCCCCTTTAAGGCCTCCGGACACAGATCCAGACCACTGGACACTAGAGGTTCACCAGCTCAGACCAACGTGGAAGCTGAGCAGGCAGGACCGAGTCTTCTCAAGAACGAACTTTTTACTGTAAGAGCCCTCAGCTCCTCTCTCTTCTTTGGAACACCCTGGGCATTGCCCAGCTGAGGTTTCACTTTGCAGACCAGAAGAGCCTTGAGCAAACCCTTATCATTTCTTTCTAGCCAAGCCCCAAGGCTCTTTTTGAGTCTGTTGACACCTAAATATCGTACTTGAGAAAAGCTTGTTTAATCAGACAGGACCAATTTTATTTTTTTTTAAAGATTTTATTTACTTTTAGGGAGGGGAAGGGAAGGAGATGGAGAGGGAAAGAAGCATCACTGTGTGGTTGCCTCTTGAACGCCCCCTACTGGGGATGTGGCCCACAACCCAGGCATGTGCCCTGACTGGGAATCGAACCAGTGACCCTTTGGTTTGCAAGCCAGCACTCACTCCACTGAGCCATACCAGCCAGGGTAGGACCAGACATTTTGAAGGAACTACAGTAATTTCATGACACTAAAGCTTACAAAGCACGCTCAGGAAAACTGGACTGCACACACTTCTATTTTGCCTTAGTGTAGACATCAATGGTAGCTGTTTTGCCTCTTTAAAATTCAATGTGAGCATAAAATACAAATTTTTAACATGAAAATATAAAATTATGAATTATAAAATTTGGTCTTATTTTAACCAAGCCATAAAATTTGCAATCCATTTGGATGATATAAATGTTGAGTTCCTATTTCACCAAGACCAGGCTTTGGGAAATCAAGAGGAAAAATAATTTGGAGAAACTCCTGATTAAAATAAGCTCACAGACTCAGGAGACAATGAGTTGACATTATCTGGAAAATTATAGAATATTCTTTGTCATTAGGTGCTGGCCTTGGGTCCTGATGATTACAGACCGGCGAATCAGCCCTGGACTAGGTTTTAAGAAATACCGGGAGACTGCAGAGTTCCCAACAGATCTACTTATACATCAGAAGTTTATTTTGCTCCTCTGGTCAACATGGCTATTTAAATAAATTACCAAAGAGCCTAAAATTCTTCCTTCCGTTTTTGCCCCTACACATCCTCCAAAACAGATAAGAACCCCAAATAACAAATCTTAAATAAATGGTAGTAGTCAGTGTCAACAAATTAATTCAGCGGTAAATGATGGAAGAAAAGCAAAACCCAGACCTTTGCGAAAGATTTTTATTGTCTTGGTACGCAGACACAAGAATGGCACCTGCCTACCAAGTAGGCAGTAGAAGTAACAGTAGAAGACGTATCAGAAATGAGTGACAGTCCACATGGCTTATAAGGTCCATAGATGTGACAGGTCTCACTGCTCCTCGATCATCTTTGAATCTTCACAGGCGATCACAGCACTGGTTAAACTGGCAAACACACTCCTCACGTTAAAGAGGACGCTGATGTGCAATTGTCTGCAAATCTAACGCAATGGCACCTCATCCCACATCACTCAGGAACGGGGTGTCCTACGTACACATCTTTTAGTCGAATGACATTTCTCTCTCTAAAGTCTGAAGTCGTTATTTTAATTATGTTTAATGAAATAATGTGTGACATGCCTTCTGAAACTTTGAAATGGACCGTGCAGATTACAGCAACGTTCTCGCTGAGGTGGATATTTGCCGTGCTATGGGTAACCCAATGTGGCTTTGTTTAAGAAATCGTCAATTCATTATTTATTTTTAGTTAATTATCTTATTTATTTGTCACATTTAACTGTCAGCCAGTACTTCTTGCTTTCGTTAAATATGTTGGTTTTCAGTTACTTTTCTTCCACCTTTTATATTGAAGTCCAAGTAGAATTAAGCCACATACACCCTGATGACTAATGTTCCCCTCTCTCATGGAAGGTTAGAGAAGGTTGTACTGTACACTGAGCAATGAAGAAGGGGGAGAAATTTGGAAACTAAAGTGCTTATAGATAGCAGTCAGATTACTATCACAACTGACCTTAAATGTGTAAGGCTTAATCTGCTTTAGGCAGGAAACCAGAAAGCTAAGCCCCTGCAAACTCTTTCGAAAGCAGGGTCAGCCTTGAAGAAGGGCATGCAGGCAAAAATCCCCTAGTAAATTTCCACGCACTTTCAGGCATGAGTATTTCACATCCAAAGCATTTGTGCATTTTTAGTACCCAGAATTTTCTGTTTGCATCCTTTTCCTCTGTATTTTTACTTCTTAGTCATACTTAAGGCAGTAGGGTGTGTGATCTCTGGCACAACACTACTACACCAGTATTTTAACTACACACCATTGGATAATGCTATATAGTGATGAAGGGACTTTTGCAACTACTTTCTTTCAACTAAAATGATAATCTATTTTTTTTCTTGAGACAAAAACAGTAAAAGAGTAAAAAAAAAAATTCTACCTAGAAAACAAGTACTATTAAAAAATGTCAAATCACATAAATGTTAAAAACTTTCTTTGTTTTATGCCTTTTTCAGATTTAAGTTATTTTAAAATAACATGAAAAACTTTTCCAATGATTTTATTGAATTACAGATAACTACTGAATTCATATCTGTATTTTCATTATATCAAGATTATTCTCAATGCTACACTTGCCAGTGGTAGGTTTTGGTTAATAGGAACCAGAATCTACTATAACCTATCAATACCCTTTACACACAAACTAAAAATAGTTATTGTTTTAGCAAATTAATATAGCATTTTTTCTTTAAAGTTCTCATAACTACGCCAAACATTTTGCATTTTAAAAATGTAAACCATCTCGTAGCAGGAAATGGAAACAACACTAATTTTATAAAACTGTTTTTAGGAAATAAATTCCTAATGTTTTGTGGTTTTTTTCATATATCCTACACATCATTAACACAATTATGTTAAATATACTGTTGGTATTTATTATATTAAAACATACTAATATATTAGTGAAAAATAAAAGCACATGTGAACATCTGTGCCCCTTTTATGAACATACATTGTAGGTTGATACTTCCACTGCTTGGCACCCAGTTACTGAATGCAGTGTGGAAGGTGCTAGAAATACACAGAGAAAGGTGAGACCATTAATTAACCACAGCCTATTCAGTATGTGTTGTTACTGAAGAGAATGCATAACACAATTTAAAAATACTTTTCTTGTTTTTCTATTATTACATCCTCATATTTCATTTTCACTTATGTACGAATGGAAGATTACGTGTTTTCTTTTTCAAACTTGTTGTTTGTAGGCATTTGAAGAATTATTACTGATTTTGAAAGAAAAACATTCCATTAGTCACGGCAATTTTCTCTCTGACTTAAGTCAAAAGCTCTGTACATTAGAGAAAAAAAGGAAAAATTGATGCTTTTCCAGTCTTCACCTAACTGTGCATCAGTACTACGTGAACGAGATTTTTAGTCTGACTTGAGCCTGTGCACATCAAGCATTTACATTATATTACGTCCTTGCATCCTGTAATACAAGAGATTGCACACTTAATAAATAGCGACGAGTCGACTATAAGTCATAGAGCGTTTCAAGAACGGTGGCGATCGACCAGGCCTGGGTCTCGCAGCTGAAGGGACAGTACTGGCCGTCCTCATTGGTCAGCTCTGGGAGGCCTTTCCAAGGGGACCTTGGGGAAAGAAAAGCCGTTTTGTGAGACCCAGTCTGACATGTATGTTATCGAGGTAACACAGCAGGAAAGGGGCCGGGTGATTTTGCCTTTTTGTACAGAAAACAGTCATACACAGTCATTGGCTATAAAACAGGATATCCTGAAGATGTTTGTATAAAGAATTTAGATTGGAATTATTCTTTGATATTGACCTTTGGGATTTAAGACTTTCAAATACAAAGGAATCCCTTTCGGAATAAAAACAGAAGAAACTACCATTCCAAGCAGTATATAGAGACAGGTATCTCTCTGGTCTAATTTTATTCCTTTTGGAGTAAGTTTATGAGACTCAAATTATAATTACTTAGATTTATTAAGTTTGATCTTGACATTAATGTAAAATGAATATGAAACAGTGAAGAAACACACAATTATGATTAGGAGAAAGATGGCAATTAAAAACAATATGAATATACCAATTTCTCATTCTATTGAATAATAGTATTTATTGTGCATTTATCATGTTCTTACACTAAGTGCTTTATATACATTTTCTCATTTTAATGCTCATAGAAGCACTATAAGGTAGGTACCATAATCATTCCTATTTATAGTTTCATAGATGTTAGATCTTGCTATCAGAACACAGTATTATTACTGTATCAAATTCATTCTTAATTTCAGTGTAAGCTCTTAAATATAAAACATAAATTTAAAAGTACAGAATTCTATAAACATTTCATTTTTTATAGCTCTTAAAGTCCCAAATTCTAGATTAAACCTAAATACCTGTACACCTTACTGCTCAGAATAACTATGCGTGAACAGCGTACCCCTTACCTCCTTGGTTAGGAGACCATGGGAACGTTGGGAACATTAGTTTCATCATGAGGTGTTGTAACGCATGGCTATGGTACATATACTTTTCTGTAGCTATGAAATGTTTCATAACAAAAATAGGAAATAACTCCATTAGGTAAATGCAGAGATAATTTGAATAATAACTAATAATAACGTCAGCTAGTAATAATAATAATAAAATACAGCTAGTACTGTATTTTTGAAAACTCTCACAAAGAAATGGAAAACATAGAAAGCGTCTGTTTCCAAGCGTTCGAGCTACTTCAGAGGAAAGTGGCCGATGACTAAGGTCGGGTCCCAGGGCATCTGATGGGGGAGCTGTGTCCCCTTCCGGATTCCTGTGAAGTCCCAGCCCTCAGGACCTTATAACCTGACCTCGGAGGGACACAGGGTTGTTGCAGACGATGCTAGTTAGGGTGGCATCAGGCGGGCCCTTGCTCCAGTGCGACCGGGGTCCTCACAAACGGGGACGTTTGGCCACAGGCACGCACGCAGGGAGACCGCCGCGTGCCGGCGGGATTGGCGGCCACAGCCCGGGAGCCACCGGCAGCGGCCCTGCGCTTGGGGCCTTGGAGGGACAGGGACCGCCCGGGCCTCCACGGCGGGGCACGCGGCCCTAGCGAGCCAGCCGCTTCCCCAGCGCGGCGAGGGCAGAGCGAAGGCCGGGCTGCGCCTGGGGACGGAGCCGGCGCGGGTCGGACGCGCACGGAAAGGGGAGGCCAGGCCGCAGGGAGTGTGCCCAGGGGACACAGCGCGACAAGCCACAGCGCCCCTCGGAGCAGCGCGCAGGGGCCCCGCCTGAGGACGGGCTGACACGGTCTTTGCAGGTTACGAAGGGAGGAGCCAGTGGGCCAGTCACGGGAGCGCGGTCACGCGGCCGGTGGGAGGGGCGGGACACAGGTCGGCGCAGGGGCAGGGGCCCTGCCGCGCAGGCCGTTCCCGTTTCCCGTGGTCGGAGGGAAGAAAGAGAAAAGAAACGCGAGTGATGGTAACAGCGGGGGCACGGAAGGACGGGCTGCAGGGGCGGCGCCGTCACAGACTCGGACTCACTCTCCAGCCCACGCGGAGGCCGCGCGGCGGGCCGGGTTCTCCGCGGATGCCAACGAGCCGCCGCCCATGCACGGGGGAGGATGGCGGTCCCTCCTGGTCTAACCGAGGTGGTAACGTGTACGCTGTTCACGCATAGTTATTCTGGGCAGTAAGGTGTACAGGTATTTAGGTTTAATCTAGAATTTGGGACTTTAAGAGCTTTTGACCGTATTTTATCACTGTGTAAAGAAACATGACTCTAAACTTTCTTTTCTGCTAACAGAACAAAGGATGTGACAAAGAGATTTGAAATAACAGTCAAAAGGCCAACCCTGATATTTTAATTATAATGAAAGCATTTCTGAAAAGTATTGCTGTATTTTTGAATCAGTTAACTCAAAAGGGCCAGCCTGCATACTTTCAGTTTTGTATTTATTCTGTGCTAATAACCCTATCCAAAAACACATTATCAGCTAAATTTTATAATGAAAGATTATTTCACATGTATAAATCATGCAGGAAAGTCTTCGACTAAAATGAATAACCCAACCTACTTGAAGGAAGCTAAAACTTACACCACAGAAATTGTCGTGGTAAAGGGTAAAGCTTTCAGATTTCATCGGGCAACCAGAGGACACAGAAGTGAATTCTAAGGACACGTCAGGTACCTGACTGACAAAATGCTAGTCACGGAGATCACGCGCCTCTTAAGGCTTACCTCTCAAGATGCACGTAATGCCGAGAAAGGACATTTTTAACCAGGAACACAGTCTTTGCATTAGCCTCTGGGCCCATCAATTTGGAAAAATACAATTTTGCACGAAGAAAATACCCCACGGGCCACAGCCACTCCTGAAAAAGATGATTTAATTATAAAGGGGAAAAAAGAGAGCTGTATCTAAAACTGTTTGGGGGGAAAACAACATGTGAAAACTCAAGAGAGAAATGACGTGCTTACAGGTCCTTGGTGATAATTGAAGCCTTTTGCGAGATTGTAGTTGTCGCTGTCTAAAGCGTTGTCATAAACGCCACAGTAAACCATGTCGCTGGAAAATCAGTGACACGCAGGTTAAAAAACATCACACATTGTACAGGAAGCATCAGAAAAAATTCAATAGCAATGGTAAGAGAAATAATCAAATTATTTTGCCTTTCAAAGCATTTAAACCTTATATAAGTAAATACTGAGTTTGGAGCACTTTACTAACGTGTCAGGGAGCGAATAACAAATACTGGCGAATACAAAAAACTAACATATTCCGGAATCTTGCCTTCAAGGAGTCACCCTGACACTGTCGGTAAAAGTAAATCAGGCCTCTAGTATATTTACAACAATTAAAATATACACTGAGTAATTTGAATGAGTGATTATTAACGGTAAGTTTTCTTAACTACTAACTAAAGGTTTCTTTGAAAGTTCTCCATGAAATTATTTTAAAATTAATCAAAATGGGGACATTATCAGATTACAAATAGCAACTAAGTCCACATAGAGAATTTACGCACACTTATGAACCAAGCAGACTGTTACCCACTTACTGCAACTGATGACACGAGACAGTTACCTATGCTCAGTTTAATTTAAATTATCGCTTTTTTTCCTTTTAGTGAGGGAGACAGAACTGGCCACGTGAGTTACTTTGATCGTGGGCTTTAGTTCTGACCAGCGGCTCGTAAAGCCCCTGCAAAGGCGGCGAGTGCTTCCGCAGGCAGGCAGCCTACAGACAGCGTCCATCTCAAGACCGAAATGAATACACAGGGAAGTCGGGAAAGCCTGCAACGAAGAGGCTACGAAGGGTGGGGGCCCCCTCACGTAGCGACAGAGAGAGCAAACCGACGATGGGTACCACACTTTAAAGAAAAACAGTTGAAAACTGGAAAAGACATTAAAAACTCAGGAATAAACACAAGTTGGAAAAGAAAAGTATAAAATGGCACAGAAATATAACATAAAAACAACATTATAATTGGTTTAAATTAAAATTGTGGTGTGACCGCCCAGAAAGGATGGAGTGGCGGGGGCGCGGGGTTAAATCCTCATCTGTCATCACGGGCAGTGAATCGATCATGTCTAAATATTTTAAAAAGTTAGGAAACAGCTGCATACACATGATTTTATCCCATTAAAGGAACTACTAGCGGCAGCACCCGAGCAAAATAAAGACCGTCTCTGAGGAGATAACGTGTCTATACTTCCTATGTCCACAGCGGTCACTTTCGCAATCTGAAAATGCAGCTGTTAGAAAATATTCGTGGCAAAGTAGTTTTACAAACTGAAAAACTCTCTTACCAATTACTGAGTACAGGACCAAGACAAAACCATGTTGAACATCGATATTTAATGATAGAAAAGGTATTTTTAAAAACTCGGTGTGAATGCAACGTCGGAGATTGTATGTAGTCAGTGCAAAACAGCAGCAACGACATCCTTAATACTTACAGTCCAGCGGAATCTGATCCAAGTTTTTATGCCAAGGTTAACTATAATGACATGGTAAGTAGAATGCGAACTACATTCTGAGTCCTCCCATTGCAACTTACTCCGGATCCAGAGTTTTCATGCCCAGGGGGCCCAGCAATTTCTTCTCTGCCATCTCCAATGCCTTCCACGCCTTCTCTGCAGTAAAGAGCTCAGGGGCCTGCGGAGTGTCAGAAACCAACGCACAAATGCTTTCAGATCACTGAACAATTCGTTTCCACTCACGGTGGAACACAAACTAGCTAGAAATTTGGAAAAGGAGAGCTGTTTGGAACTCCAGGGTGGGCCAGAATTTGAGTGCAGGCGCTAAGCCGGATCTGATCCAAGGAGGCGGACTGGGAAGCAGCGCTCTGCGCCGGGACACGGGGGAAGCTGTCCGAGGCGAGGATGCCTCGTGTCGCTTCAAGGAAGCGTGCCAGCTCCAAAAGGAGGCCGTCCCAGCTGCACGGAAGGCAGAGCGCACGGAAGGCCATTCTGCAGAAGCCTCACAATCCGGTCCTAGCCATCCGTGCCTCTGGGGTGAGAAGGAAATACAGAGGACTCGCCCTCCAACGGCAGGGGCCGTGGAGATGGAGAGACAGCGCCGGTGACCCGGTGACGGAGGGTCTGCGGTCAGTTCGAGGGTTACATGGAATCAAGTGCGCGCACGCGCCGAACGGAAGCCACCTTTCTGTGCCTCTGCATCTGCTCTCCTGCTATGACTAAGAGAACTGCGCTCAGCATTCTCGTTGGCAAAGTGGAGACAGCTAGGTGGGCCCAGAAGAACACATGCCTTCTCCATTTTACTGCCCTGAGAGTTTGTTTTTAGTTTAAGGCAAGAGAAAATCAGGAGGGTCTAGAATTCTTGGCTTGATAGAACCTCGTATGAACCTCATCATTTTTTCTGTGCTATGATGGGGCACATGTCGAACACACTTAGTCACCGTTTCATTTTCAATTTTTTCACGCTGATGGTGACAGGTGACACGCACAAGCCTTCATTCATTAAGAGAGCACATAAAACTAACTAGTACACAGTATGCTTTTTACCAATTCAATGAACTTGAAAACAAACAGGAATAAAGAACGAAATAAATTCTATCGCAACGGGTTTGGAGTCTAAACACAGGAAGACACTCACTACGACCATCGCGACTGGGAAGTTGGGCCGCAGCTGGTAGTCGCACCAGGGGCTGGATGCGCCGTAGCTGTCCTTGTAGATGCCGCGCTTGTGGACCAGGTGCGGGTTCTTCTCGTGCGCGTTGGACGGGTCTTCGGACACGTAGAATAGCTTTTCAAAGTTGTCTTGTATTTTTCTGTTCCACTCATCATAGGACACTGTCACCACCCTTCCTGAAACGTGATAAAAGGGCTCAGCAGTTCGAGGCATTCAAAGAAACCCACACGTGCAGTTACAGGCAGAGAGTGATATTTCCGTAAATTACTCCCTTTTTGAAAGTGTCAGGGCTTTTTGAGGGGCACTAGCCAGAAATTAAAAATGATCTTTCATGACATTAGCAAGAAAGGATTAGACTCTCGCCAATTGGTCCCCGATTGGTTTTCCTTTGGGTCACGTTCTTACATGGTTGATAGTGACCTTCACTGAGCACTCAAAGTGAGGCCGAGCTGAGGCGCATCGGAGTACAGAATACATCCCGATTTCAAAGACTCAGTAACGCCCCCAAGAATGCAAAACAGGTCACGAATAATTACATTCTGATGATATGTTAAAATGCTACTTAGCAGAGATTGAGTTAGTAAAATCTATGATCACAGTTAATTTTACCTATTTCTTTTTACTTTTTAATGTGGGTAATTCAAAATGATATATGTGGCTTAAGTTAGATTTCTATTGGACAGGAGAGTTGGAGAAAGAGAGAGATTACACAATTGTTCAGAAAAACACAACTTGCTGATAGTCACACTGTGGTAAGTGCAGTAAGGCAGGAAAACGATGCTTTTCACATCTCATTTCGAAGTTGCTATAAAAATATGGTGAATAACCAGGTTTGTTACAGTTTTCCTACTAACAGACTAATGGTTTTTCCTCTCAATCCTAAGGGTTTCCTAAGTTCATTGAGTCAATGATGGTTTCATCAGTGAAGAATATAGACAGTATATTCAGAGCTTCTTTGTAAATAAAGTGAATATCTTACCATGTCTTTTTACTGTGACTTCACGATAAGGGAAGATATTTTTTTTGGATAATTCCAGCAACCAGCGAATGGCAGATTTACTCAGGCCCACGATTTCCACAGCAGACCCATCTCTAAAATTAAAAATAAATTGTTCTTTGAGTTGGAGTCAGTTAAGTACTCCTTAAATAGCACACAATAAACACTTTTGATGAACTCTATAACCAATGTGTTATAAAAATAACTATAAAACTCTCCTACTCCACAAGAAGGTGTATAAGAACGATCCGGAAACAGGGAGAAGTAAGGAATCAGGGTATTAGAACCAAGTCCCAGAGGAAAGGAAGCAAACATGGACACAGGAGAAGCCAGGGAAGGGGAACATAGTAACTGGGGAGCTTGCTTTAGGAAAGACAAAAGGGAAGTACAAGAGATCATAATACATCAAAATAATCAGGTTTTTAAAAGAATTTGCAAAGCATGTAGGAACAGGTACTATTAATTGTCGTTGACAATTTTGCCCGAAGATAAAATTGAGAAAAAGAACATAGTTTCTCAGGCCTGACACTGTATTCAGTATTTGAAATCAGAAAAAGAAATGATGGGATAGAAGATAAAAAAAATTAGGGGGAATAAAGGTTCAGAAAGTGAAAGGATTTTACAAAGGAGGGGATAATTGGTGATTCTCTATGTTTACGAGGGGGGCGCAAGGGCACGTTACAACGACGGCGCCGCAGGTTAGAACTGTCTGAACCGTGGGGCGGCGGATCGTAAACGCAGGTGCGCCCGGAGAATCCACCCCCGCACCACACCGCACCCCTCCCCCCGACCCCGGGAACCTCCGCGAGGGAACAGACGCTCCCCCTGGTGGCCCAGACCCAGAGGACCGCATCTGCGCGCCTCGGGGGAGCGGGCAGCGGGCAGCGGGCAGCGGGCGCGGCCTGGAAGAGGCGGTGCGAGACCTCCCCTGGCTTAGTGTGGAGACTCCACGGTTGACCGGAGGAAAGGTCCGGCAAGGCTGAGGCGAGAAGGGCGTAACGGCACCAGCGCGCGCAAGAGACCGTGCCTTGGGGTGGCGGGGATGCCTCTGTTTCTAGCTCTGTCGCTCTCCCCCATTTTGTCCATCCACGTGCCGCAGTTAAAGCGATTTCCTCCGTAAACAAATCCCGTTTCTTCATCGACTCCTGCGGTTATATTAAAACCTAAAAAAGCCAAATAAGACATGTATACAATTTAAAAGACGACCAATGAACTAGGACAATGACTCTGGAGAGCAGAGAGCAGGTTGGCAAGACCTTCGAAGCTGAAACGTGCCTGCTCCACCGCATGGTGATTTCATTTCCCCACGCGCGCTCTAGAGCAGCCCTTCCCCGCGTGCACCCTCGTGGGAGGACGTTACTGCAGTGCTGCGGGCGGGGGCGAGGAAGTTCCACCCCACGACCGAGTGGGGGCGCGGATGAGCACTGCACCTTAGGCTTACAGCGGACACCTCCCCGTGGCGCTGAAAACGAACGGACTGGGTTCACAGGCATCGAAATCGACAAAGCCCCCAAACAACATGATTGGGCGAACGCATTGCAAGAGGATATGCGTAAGATACCTTTTCCCTAAAAGTTTAAAATATGGAAAATGCTAATATACACAACCACACCTGTGTATGTGGCTGCGTCTTATGTGATTATATAGGACAAAATTTAAAAACATAAAATAATTATATATAGTGTATATATACATTATATGAAAATATGCTGAATATATACTCTAATATACAGAAGATATACTACATAATATATTATCATATGTAGTTTAGGCATGAACACACATAAGCACAGAAGCACACATGGAAACAGAAACCCCGGTTATAGGTTAGTCACAATAATTCTGGAGATGAACCTTTAGATGTGTCTGTAACGGTTTCTTTCCTTTCAAAACAAAACAGAAAATCCAAAGAAAATGTGGCCAAATGGAAGTAGCTGTTGAATATCAGTTCCAGGTTCCAAGGTAAATTTTATATCACTTCCTGTATATTGAAATGTTGTAATCAACATTTAACTAAGTGTTCATAATTAAAACTAAAATAAGTCAGGACTATCACAAAAACGCTCTTTAAATATAAAATCTATTTCTATTTAGTTCTCTTACTGAAGGATAAAAAATGTTCTCAGTGATTTCTTACCAGCTCACTTGGGTATAAAATTTGTGTGTTACACTACAAACAATAATTTAATTAAATAAGGTTTATTGTTTAAAATATAATTTTAAAGTGCCAAGTACAAGAAATTTAGATTCTTGAGTGTGTATCAAAATTTTCCAATGAGTTAGTGAGTTACCTGAAATATCTGGAGTAGATCACTTAAAAAGCTTATCATTTTATATTAACTACAATTGTGTTAAAAAAAGTCCATAGTCCTATTACCATAACAAAACTACGGCACTTTGGTCATCTTATCAATAAAATGGGAACAATGTAACTCATCCCCAGTGTTCCTGGGGCTATTAAACAGGAATAACACACACACAGTGGTAGCACAGTAGTAAAGCACCCAATTATCAGCATTTATTATGATGATTATAAATGCAGCCCCCACTACCTTTCCCGTGGGCTGACAAGAGAGAGAAAATCTTCTCTCTCCTCTAGAAGCTAAGCCTGTGAGTCCAAGGACGGTGCTCATCTTGTCCACAGCTGCCTTTGGAAGTGCCCCACACCATGAAGCGCTTGCCAGCTACGGGGCCCATCGAGAGCCCACGGGGAGGGACGCACCTTCGTCCTTCATGTTGCGGTCTATCTGTGGCCCCGCGTTCCTCTCCCGGAACTGGATGCCTTGCGCGTGTCTTTGCATGGCTTCCTGGATCACCTCAAACAACGGCTGGTCCTGTGGGGGACGGAACAGAGCGCCCTCCATCAGAAACGACATTGCTCTCCTCTTCCCCAGGCCCCACAGCTCAGGTCTTGTGAAAACATCTGTTTTCCTTCGGAGGGAGCGGTGGGGCCCCGGGCGGGGCAGGGCAAAGCTGGAGCCCCCGAGCCCCAGCCTTCGGCACGTGGACTTGTATACATTGTCGCCTGACTACGCAGGTCTGTGCGTGAAATAATTGATATTTTTGCTGACACACGGAAATGAATCTTGGGAGGTGGTATTGTTTCGGTGAGAGTGAATTGCTCTGGTGATCAATGACTCCAGCTCACTCCACAGGAAGATACACTGTGACCTCCCTGGACTGGTGCCAAGGCCCCGCACGGCCTGGCTCCCCGTCCACGGACGCCCGCCGCCCCGCACAGAAAGCCATACCAGACCGAAGCTCTGCCGGGCTGCACCCTGAGCTCCACGGCCCCAGTCTCTTCGACGTCTCCCCACAAGCTCCTCACCTCTGCTGAAGTCCCTCTGCTGAACATGACTAATTGTCAGGTTCCGCGCAGGGACCATTTTGGCTCCTTTCTAGAGTCCTCCCCGAGACGCGCTGAGCAGATCAGCTCTTTGGGCGGCGGCCGTGGGACCTCCACGACCGACCGTCCTGCACCACGTGCCCCCCGCCTCACCCCCCCCCCCGTAAGAAGGGGCGGGCCTGAAGCGTGTGCTCCAGCACAGTCCCAGCAGAGGCTCGACGCGCAGCCGCGCCGGAATGGTTCTGAGCGATGTGTGTTTTTATATCGGAAGCTAAGTCATTTTTCAGGAAAAGAAATTATTGTGAGAAGCGATTCTTACCACTGCGCCGGCGGGCAAAGGGGCAGAGTCGTCTGTGGGGTACATTCTGGACACGGGGCACTTGAGAATGTCCAGGCCGTTGGGGACCATGTGGCAGTAGTCCTGGATGCACTGCAGCCACCACCACACGGCGTCCCGGCAGTTGTATCTGGCGTAGGTCCCTTCGCCCAGGAGGTTGGGAATGAGCCCGTGTCTCAGGGTACCAGCGAATGCTAAGATGATATTCCTGAAACACAGACTCAGGCGGCTCACTTGACAGGAAAACAACCACTTAAGAAATTGAAGACAGCAAGGCCACGCCGGGTGACGATCATTTCGGACGCATTTCCTCTCCGGCCCTTGTTTCTTTGTGTTTTCGTGTAGAAAGTGGCCACACCGTAGAGCAAGCTCTGGGCGCAGGGCCAGGGAGCTTGCCGCGGCCCTGGCTGCTTCCCTGGCGACCCGTGGGGCTCATCCTCTCGGGGACAGTCTGTCACCCTGAGGGTGAGCCAGGGGACTGGGTGATTTTCCAGGTCCCTGACAGCAATAGATTCTACTTTTGAAATCCTTGGTTTTTCAAAATCTAAGAAACTAAAACACGCACTCTATTACTTTAAACAGCAGATACAAAAGAGCAACGCCAACACATAGGAAAATAAATGGGTGAAAGCTGACCTTGAAAAATATGATTAATTTCCAAAAACCGGTAAAAGACACTTTACCTTTTAAAGTGTCAGATGGCAAGGTATTCTAAAAAAAAAGCCTGAAACTAAGAAATAAGAGGACAGCCTTAAATTCTAGCGTTACCTTCTGCAGGCCTTGGGAAAGTCATTTAAACTGCCTAGGTCTCAGTGCTTTCTGGCAGAACCATTTGGAGATTTAATCAAGTTTATGTCTCAGTTTAATGTTCATCTCTTAAATAACAGTGCAGCAGGAACCTTTTTATTTTCCGCAGTGTGGATAGTGACATGCCCAATTAATTAATAAGAGCTCAGAGTGCTAGCAATTCACCGTTCAGAGCAATGGCTTCCTCTTGACATCTGACTACAAAAGACCTTGGTCCGCGAACACGTGTAGTAGAAACAGCCATGTGTGGCCACCAAAGTGGTTTTCTCTCCTGCATGTCCCGACCTGCCTTCCAGAGGCGCCCATGTAATGCATTTGAAGGCAAAAGATGCACGTGGAACTGAGGTATGTTAAGTGCATGAACATGGTTATACCTTTTTTAGTTTTACTGATATAAATCAGCAAATCTGAAAATAACCTGACCTGTGAGGGACTAGAACTTACTAACTTCAAAGATTTTCACTCCTGTGAAATCCTATGAACGTGTAATAAGTTAAAATGAAAAATAAAAAATAAAAATTAAAAAAAAAAAAACACTTCAAGGAAGCACACCTCCGGAATGCCGACTAGGTGGATGAAGGGGCAAGTCTGAAGAGCACGCGAGAAACACTCAGACACAACCTGCCAACTTTCCGAGCCCCTACCTGGCCTCCACGTAGCGTCCGGGAATCAGCAGCAGGCCTCTCAGCGCGATAAAAGTGTCCCTTCCCCAGCAGCGGAAAATGCCCGAAGAAAAATGAGGTAAGCCTAACAGGAAACACAATGGAGTCATATGTTAATCTGACATTATCTTGTTTGTCAAAACAATCACTGTCTCTCCTCAGTAGAAAAATAGAATCCAAGATAACAGAAACCTCATCTGTCTTGTTTACCAAAGCATATCACTGAAAACTGTAACTGGTACCTAGTACCATGTACATGATAAAAATTTATCGAATGAATGAGATAAAAGACTAGCTATACGAGGTATATTGAGAGGTGAAAGAATATGACTAAGACAAAAGAAAATTTTGGCAAATCCTAAGTACACACTTTAAGTTTCTGCCTATTCAGTCTTCACCTTGGAGGATGGACATCATTGTCTTTGTTAAGAAAGATCAGAACTGAAGGAAACATTAGGCACGTCTGACACACATGGCTTAGCTATGGTTGCTGATGATAATTTTGATGATGACACACAAGTACCAGTTTCTGCCACACAGACTTCCTGGGGCTTTTGGCCACTTAGCACCTTGTAGGAAGTACGAGTATAAACAGAGTCACGGGTGAGTTTGAGAGGGTGTGACCTAAAACACAGGCCGCCTGTCTTCATTAAGAAGTCAAAACTATAAAACCTCTTGCAATGACCTGTGGAAACGTTTTGGCCTCAAAGGTATGACTTACAGATCACATGCCTTCTGGGGGATTTTTACCTTGTCAGTTATGACAAAAGTTAGGGTTATGATCTCTTTCACTACTGTGATTGAAGAAAGGTGTTCCTGGCTTTGGTGTCCATTTGTAAATGACCCCAAAAACCCGACCTGCAAATCAGAGTATGGTCCAGTGTTTTGTTAGTATGAAGTATAGAAGACACTCCCTTGGGGTGAGAGAAGCAAGTATTAGAACTTTTATTTATATTTATCAACTTACCTTTGAAGTTTCAGTTTTTGTTTTACACTATGTCTGTCTATGTAAGTCTATCAGGTGTGACCTATCAGTATGTCATTTATGATCCTAGTACCTCTATTTCGGGAGTGTTTATATACAGCAGCGTGTAATTACAGTACCATGCTGAGATCACCGCTGTTTTACGTAATAGGCTTCTAACCGGTAGCCTTTAAAAGCGAACTCTGCCTATGGCTTGTTTCCCACAATGGCCGGTTCAGTTTTATGAGCATCTGCCTGGATTCACAGGGGACAGGGAAGTTCCAGAAGGAGATCAGAGAGCTGAGCAGAAATCTCAGACACAATTCTGTAATTAAAACATTCAGACGGTTTGTATGGTCACTGCAAGTGAGAAGGTGATTTCTTTTGAGTCACTGGGTGCCCGTAGGTCTTTGTTCTTGGCCTGAGCAGATGCAGGTTTAAGGGTAAACAGAGAAAATCACATAGACCCTACTATTGCTATCATCATTCATATAGTAATATCAATGTGGTATTTTTCAGTGTAGTTTGGAAAGTTCTAAACTTTCACGGCCTCAGATATCAAGCACTTTCTGGAAACAGCTTGCAGTGTATTAGGGAGAAAGCGAAAGCCTGTCGTTCAGTCTGGTTTGCTTACTCAGGCTTGTTCACTGGTTCAGCTTTTAACACTACTTGCAGGAAAGAATGTCAGTAAGTACAGTTAAAGCATTTGATTGCAGTTAGACACCTGATAAAAGCTTACCTTACATATTTTGTGTTCTGTAAGCTGTATTGGACTTTTCCATAATCTCTTGGTACTTACCAGGCTGGGTTAATTTTTAAAAATTGGGAAAGAAGTGTAATACGATGGAATAAGGGTAGTAAAACAAATCTGATTTAAAAATAAAACACGTGAAGAGTTGAAAATTAACCCAGAAACACGGAAAAGGATTAACCAGCCAGAAAAAAAAAAGCACATAAATATAAATGCCTATTTAACAGTGATAATTAAATAGTAAGCACGGTTTAATTTTTACAAGCGATCAGCTCTGACATTTTGCTACATAGTCACATAAAATCTTGGATAACATCAGGAGGATTTTTTTCCTTCACTTTTTAATTGAATTTATTGGGGTGACATTGGCTGATATAATTATAGGAGAGGTTTCAGGTGTCCAGTTCTAGAACACATCATCTGTGTATTGGACCGTGGGTTCGCTACCCCATCGTGAGTTTTTTAAAGAAATCATCATTTCCCCGTAAGTTTTGCTCTTGGACTGTCACAGACGTACACACCCTCCCCTCGGACGTCACTTCTTACCTGCTGCCAGGGACACACAGCACTGCTCCCTTTCCTTCGTGACCTCGTTGAGCCGGTAGGGCACGTCCCTCAGGGACGGGGAGAGCAGCGGCAGCGACGGGAACTTCCCTACTCCGCACATCTGGACCGAGCCCAGGGCGAGGTGCTTCACGAAGGTGGAGCCTTCCTGAACAAAGCTGCGGCAAAGGGGCAGGTTCAAAGTGTTATTTGTAGGAAGACAAACATTGTGTTCTTCTTTATTTAAAAAATGTACCGTGGTAAGAACCCCTGCGGTCTCCCCTCTGAGCAGATTTTTACGTACACACACAGAATTGTTGGTGAAGGCACACTGCTGGGCAGCAGATCTCTGCAACTGGCCTGGCATAATAACTACAATTATTTTTGAATCGAATACCTATCGATTCAAAAAGTTTTAGCGGGACTATTTTACTCAGTTTCCTTCCTTCAAATAATGTCTCTGTGCAAATGTGTGACCGTGGTAATGTCTGCGGACAAAACACTTTCAGTTTGGTTAGGTTTTAAAAATGCTTTCACTTCGGAGAGACAACGGTGGGGTTTCTGCCCCCCCCAGGGACGATGCCCAGATCAACAGGGCAGCTCTTGGCTGGCGCATCCCGATCTGTGGTTTCTCTCTAGGGCGAATCGTTAAAGGCCAGTTTCATTCATTAATAAGGGCAGAATATTTTCCTCTTACTAAAAACTTAGAAACATAACTGTGTACGTATGTTCTAAAGTAGTGTATTCAAGAACTTAACAAGTCAATGAATAAATAGAAATGAATCATATAAAACAATGAAAATTTCCAGCAACATGCTCTTTTAGCTTTAGGGAACAGATCTTAATGTCTCAGTTTGCGTATGTTCCATCCTGGAGAATGCTAATAAATCTGCCATGCGCTCACACGCGCGCTTCAGCTCCGGGAGCCCCTGACAGTTCGCTGCCTTTGGTCTTCTCAGAGCACCTGTGAACAGACCCTGCGTAGTTTCTAGGCAGGCGAGCTGATTGGCTCAGGCTGGGCAGTACCTTGACATCTGTTTCCAGGCTACATCCAGGAGGGTGGTGTAGGCCCCGATTAATATAGCATCAAAGTAGCATGGGATAAGATAACGGGGGATCTGCTTCAGGTAGAAGAACATAGCCTGCAACCATTTGCCGACCTGTTGGGAAAACAATTTAAAGAGTGAAGGGGGGCGGGGGCAGGGAAAGGGAAGGGAAGGGGAAAGTCAAGGAACATATAGCAAGGACTCATGGACAAAACCAAAGGGGAAGAGCTGAGGGAGGGAAGGCGGGAGGGGGCAAGGGAAAGAGGTGGGGGGGGGGAGGCAGAGACAAATGTATTTAAAAAGTAAATAAATTAAAAAAAAAAAAAGTGAATTTGGTGGGTTTATAGGCTCTGTGTATTTTAAAGGGTATATCCAAGTACGGACCTCCACTAACTAGTAGCCTATCAACCTGGTATCCATTTATGAGAACTGAGAGACGGTGAAAAAGGAAGGGAAATGTTTCAGGTTAGCGAACGATGTCAGTGTTGGAGGTGACGCGGTAATACAGTTCCCGCGGTGCCTGGCTGGCCGGGACCGCCCGCCAGCTCGCCTCACCTCAGCCAAGGCTCCCGACCGGGCGACGAGCCTGCTGCTGACGTAGTCAATCATCCAATCTCCGGAGCGCAGGTTGTCACAAAACGGGTGCCCCAGGTCGTTCTTTGGTCTTATTTCTGCCAACACGGACATCAATCCTGGAAATTCACAGAAAGGCCACGCTCTGTGACTGGCCGTGGCGACGCGTCCCCTGGCCTGGCTGCTGTCAGGGTCTAGTCCCCAGGGCGGGGCGTTGGGGGATGGACGGGACCCAGCTGCATGGTCTGCGGTGGCTCTCTGCGTGGTAACACAGGCCCGAGCCACGCTACGGGGACACGCGGAGGGAAGGGGCCACTGTCCCCGGGCTCCGCAGAGCTTTCCAAGGGCCGGTCTTGTTCTTCTGGGGCTTAATGTGCTGACAGTCCAAGGGGGCGGGCACGGTGCCTGCCCTGCGGTGCCCGGGAAGGGCACTGATGTCCGTGTCTCCCGGGTTGAAAAGTGCTGGGTTCACCGACACTTAGGCAAGACCGAAGGAAACCACAGACCGGGCTTCGGAGACAGCCAGAGCATCCGGGGGTCATAAGAACAAAGCCTACTCTGGAAACGATGTGGAAGTTTAACAAGAGGTCCTTGGAACTAAATGAAGTATCCAAGGGAGGTATATAGGGATATCTTTAAGTAATTCTCAAAGAGAAGCATTCAAATTCCTATGCAGACACAGCCCACTCTGTTAGTTCAATGAAGTACCTCATTTAATCCTCAAAAAGGCCTATACACTTGGCAGCATTATTCACTTTTTGTACAGGCAGCAATTGGGGCAGAAGAACCAGGTGTCAGGAGGCGAGTAGGCAGCAGAGCCAGGACCTGAACCCAAGCAGTCTAACTCTGAGCCCATGCTCTTGCTTTTCTTAAGAAGATACCATGTGACACTTAAAAAACCCCCCCAAAACCTCCAAAGGCTTAACCATGCTTCTACTTGCTTACCCTGGAGACCCGCGTACTTCAGAGACGCCCAGTTGGGTATGTGGTAACACCCTCCGCCATCCTCTCGCTCTTCGGATTCACATCGGTACAGCACCTGGTTCAGCTCGGCCAAGGTGAGCTGAGAGGCAATCCTGGGGAGTGAGGGATGGGGGAACCGGTTAAATGTACTGATGTTCACGTGCCGTCAGTAAAAATTGAGAGCAAAACCTGAAGCATAACCATAAAACATCTTAGCGATGTCTGTTTTAGGAACGCATCATTATAATACATGTTATGAACAACATACATCATAAATAACAATTAAAGGATAAAATATGCTAACAATTCAATCAGAAGTAACATTTCTTCCAAAACAAGGAAATCATCAAGGGCCAAATTTTATTGATTAGGAGTACGCTGGGAAATCTTTTGGTTGCTATATCCTTTAAGTCATCTATATTTTTTTAATCTTTCTAGTTTGGGCTTAGTTTCTCCCCTTCCGTTATACTTTCCTATGTTGGATGCCAAGAACTTGTACGCTAATTATCTTAAACTCAAAATAATCAATCAAAGCGCCAGAAAAGGGGTGCTCAATCGCCACAGCTAAGCTTAAGCATCCTGGGGTCTCTGCCCGGCCATTGTCCTGTCTCCGAGGCTGCGCCGCCTTTCAGCTCGGTCCCTCAAGGAACCGGGACTTTCCTGCGTAGATGCTTCTCGACAGTGGTCAGAAGGAAGTGCCCAGCCTTCCCGGGCTGGTCTCCCTTGCTCGTCGCAGTGAGGCTCCTGACTGACCGTAGCTCAGTACAACTGAAACCCCGTTTTCTTGCACTTTTACTCGCTCAATGTCCGTTCTCCATCATTGAACACACGTCCTTATGGATTTTCTGTGAACGCACATCCTGGTGACTGAACTTCCTCCTGTCCCTCTTCGTTCCACCTCAGCGAGCACACCGTGGGCGGCACATCATGCCCCCACGAGCGGCTGTCCCCACAGCTGGGGCCGGCTCTGTCTGCAGGCTTTCAACAGGGAGCCCGTGGGCTCCCCACCCAAGACTTACCCACAGAGCTAACTCAAATGCAGGCTTCTCAGCCGCGCCTCAAGGTAACTTGAGCAGGTGTAAGGGGGAATACGTATTTTATAAGCATTCCATAGAAACACAAAACTTTCACCATGAATTATTTTAGAATACAACTATTTCACTAAGAAGAGTTTGCATTAAGAGGGAATATCCTTAATGGTAAAAGTTCTTATAAAACAAGACGATTGAGCACAAATAGGAAAAAGGGCTAAAATGTAAAGTGACACATCACTCACCAGCTATTAAAGTAACAAGCTTCCACAGAACAAGGCATACTTACGAAGCAAAGGGAATTTTTAATATGGGATCTGCGTTGTCAACAACAAGGCTCCCAGATTTAAAGTGAGGACTGAACTGTGTCAGGTGATGTCGAAGAATTCCAACAGCAACTTGTGCATGTGGGTCAAGACTAACCCTGAAAACATTAATTGAAAATTGATTAACTTTAAAGAGTAATTTAAAATTAGCAGGAGACGTCAACTATTTTAAACATAAGCAAAGTCGATAGTTTGAACTCTGCCATACCTGAATATAATAACACTTCCTGGAGATAAGTTTTCAAATTCTATTTCTTGAATATATTCATTGGGTCCCTTTGTGGTAATTCCAGCTTGTTTAACAATTTTACTCTCGTTAAGCTTGGAAAAAAGTTACATAAAACCGTTCAATGAATAATTCTAATGTCCTTAAAATGTTAAACATAGGAGGAAGATAAGAATACCAAATACCTGAATATGTTCTTTAATTTCTACCGTGACAGTAGGCATTCCATTGATTGAATTCTCATCCTTCTTATAAGGCTTTGTGTTTCTTTCAATAGTTCTGGCTTCAAGAACCACTTCTTCAATTTTGCCTAGGAACATATAAAAATGTCACCAAAATTTCATATTAAACCATCTGAAATTAGGAATCGCTAATGAGGTTTTAAATCACGTAACTGAAAGTTAAAGATGAAAAGGCAGTTAATTTCAAAAAACACAAGACAGTCTAAAAGTAGACGATTCTAGTACCCAAGATGCATTTTCACACAATGCTGTTTTTTTCAATTTATTTTTAAATCACAACTTAGTTGGAGCTTTATTTGAAGAGCGAGCGTATCAAGCAGGGTTGGGAGAGAACCGCTGGCCCCACCGTGTGCCCTCGCTTCCCCTTCAGGGGACATCGCGACGGGCAGTTTGAGGTTCGTTGAGCCTGTGCATGTTCACTACATATGTGTTTCCCTAAACAACACATGTTATTTTCCATATTTCCAAGTATTTTTTAAAGTAGATTTACATTTTTTATATATATTTCTGCAACTAGCTTTCTATTGGAAAACACTGTATTTTTTAGATTTGTTCACACTGCTACATTAGTTCTAGCTTATTTATTTCAAACACCAAATAGTATTGCACTGTATGACTATGCCAAAGGCATTCATTCTACTAACACTGTTAATTTTAATTTTTCTCTATTGTAACTATATATTTCTGCATGAGCAATGATCAGACAAGATGATTACTGAATATACATTTGTGAACAGCTAAAAGAACTAACGAACATTTAACCTAAAACAGTTCAAGTTGATGATTTTTAAGACTTGGAGTTACACTTATTTGGCAACTGGCAACCTATATATAATAGGAAGATTTTTATGGGCCTTATTACTCAGTCAACAGACTTGGACAGTCGCTGTATGCACAGCAACATGTTATGCCATAATACATGTAATAGTAAGCAAGGAGGTAAAATACACACATCCAGAAAAAAAGCAATAGGAAGGACATCCCTCAAGGATGTATTTTATAAGTAAGTATAAAAGGAATGATATGGAGAGATTATAATTGCTGTATGTTCAGAGCAGAGAGTGATTACTGAGTATTCAGAGAAGGCTTCCCAAAGCAGGTGCAACTTTAGTCCTTGAAAGGTGTAAAGAATTCAAATACAGGTGGAAGGGAGACATCTGGGGAACACGGAGAATATCTATGTGGCTGAAATAGTGGAGTAACATAGGCTAAGGAGGAAGATGAGGATGCATTATGATGAACCTTAAATAGTAAACTATTTTCATATTGGTTTATATATATCTGGATGTAAATGGATACACATACATACACATACACACAAACATGAATATACATATGTGTTTTCCTGGGTAGAAAAGAAATACGTGTTCATTTTAAAGAAATTAGGAAATAAGGAAATGTATTAAGAGGAAAACGAAACTATTTCAGAACAAAAACTGTTAACATTTGAGAACAGGTTTTGTTCCATGCAGTAGAAAGAGGAGATGCCAAAATTTCTCTTTCCCTCAACTACACCCACATTTGCCCCGTGCTATAAGACATATGCTATATAACAGCAGTGTAATATAACACAGTATGATTTACTGTAACAACATAATATGATCGCAATAACGTTTTCAGGTTGCGTTACCGGGGATGCACATCTGCGGCACCTCGTTGCTGTAGAAGGACGTCTTGGGGTTCCTGAAAGCCGTCCGAGACACAGCCACCACCGACTGATGGCTGCTGGGAGAGTGTCTTGTCACCGCCACTATGTCCTCATCCACCTGGTCCACGTACACCTGAGGGCAGAAAGGCCAGCAGGTCAGCGCTCCTGCTGCTGAGACTCATCCGAAGCTGAGCCTCCAGAAAGCAACGTAGAAGTGTGGTTTCTCGCCTGAGTAAAACCGCTGGCCCCAAGCTCCTGGTGGAGTGTGTTGATAGCGCGCCTGGCCGCAATAATACCGCTCTGGAGGTTTACATCGCCCGTGTCCGAGGGGGAAGCTCCGGGGTTCCACTTAGTGTAGAACCGTTCTTCAGACACCACTGAAATCTGAGCACAGTTAAAACTTGGAAAATGCACACGCGTTCAGCGCACTGAGAGCTGCTGGCGAGCATGCTCCGGGCCGCGAGACGGCGCGGGACGCACCTGGTGAGGCACCAGCTCGTCGTAGCCCCGGGTGCTCCCGCTGGCACAGCACGCCATGGAGACGATGGCGGAGCTCGGCAGCGCGTCGAAGGCCGACCGGTGCTGCAGGGCGAAGCAACACACAGGCCTGGGTTCATGTCCTTTCCAGGCCGGAGTTCCAGCCCAGAGCAGCAGGGGGCAGAAGGAGAACTACAGAAATACATCCCGCCAGACACACGGCTCTGCTTCACACTGGAACTACAGTGGAACAGTACTCAGCCATGGAAAAGACGAAAACCGCCACTTGCGACAACATGGATAGACCTCGAGAATAATTTGCTGAGCAAAAGAAGTCCGTCGGAAAAAGCTAAGAACCATATATGATTTCCCTCCTATGTGGGATATAAAACTGAAACTCGGGCACAGACAGCAGTGAGGTGGTTGCCGGAGGGAAGGGGGTGGGGGAGAGCAAAGGGGAAAGGGTCAGCCAATGTACGGTGACAGAAGAGGGTTCCACTTTGGGCGGTGAGCGTGCAGTGCAGTGTATAGATCATGTGTCACAGAACTGTACACTGGAAACCTGTGTGAGCCTGTTAACCAATGTCACCCCAATAAATTTAATTTAAAAAAATCACAAAACATTCCAAACACTACATGCCGCAATCACTTATCAACCTAACGCACTATCTTGAAGTACGTGGGTGTTACTGCCACGAAGTAGCAGAGGCCTCCATATCAAAACATTTAGCAAAGTACGCAAACACAAGGGACAGACCCGAGGCTTACCACAATGGGACACTCGTTGTCGTGGGTGATGTCCATGAACAGGGCGTGGGCGATGGCCGGCCTGAGGGGCCTCAGGCAGGGCTGCGCGAAGGAGCCCACGGGCTCGCCCCCGTAGCGGTAGACCAGCCTGCCCTCCTCGTGGCTGTTGTGCGCGCTCATCGCCTCTGCAAAGCATCACGGGCCATTTCACTCTCCATTGTTAATGTCCAAGGAGGGGTCAGGTTTCCCACATGACTGCCCTTCCAGAGCAGACCTCACAAAGATGATCCGAAATAAGGGGGCTTTAGACATCCGAACAGATGTCCATTAGTTCAGGTGACAAAATAGTCTACTCTGTAATTTAACTGGGAAAATAAAATGGCTCACGCAGGTAAAGGCGGCTTGTGTTGTTTAGTACACTGTCGGGTAGATAAAAATCTATGGGGAAAAAAATCTAAAGATTATATCGTATATCCTGGTAGGTGAGAGGAAAAATGGGTTTATATATTTTTAACGACAACAAACGGTTTTGTTCATGAGTCACCATCTCATCCCACTGGTCTTTCCATTTAAAATGAGACAATTTACCCCGCAGTGGAAATTTTTGCTGAGAAAAACAGACTGAGTTATAGTAGATATTCCGTGTAGAATATTTAAAAGAACATGAACTGTGTTGAAAATTATTAAACATTATACACAGAGCTATGAAATGCCTTTTAGTCCGCTGAAACAGAAAGCTAGAGTTTTAGGTGGGAGAGACGCTTCAGCGAGCCTACCTCTGATCAAGGAGCTAATGCCCAGTCTCGTCACGAAGATGTTGTCCAGGTCTTCACTTCCTGTGAACAGTTCTGCCACTACATACAGGTTGGGTTGCAATTTCCTTGCCGCATCTAACATGTACTGTAAAAACCACAGTCAGAAATGTAACAGGAAGAGAAAACAAGACGGGAGGGAAGCAGAGGAGGCAAGGCTAGCCATGGATTCGACAGGAAAATACCATGTAGCGAGACAAACGGAAATCCCAGGAGGATTTCCAAAGGAGTGTAATTGTGCATAAGTAAAAAAATAAAACAAAACAAAACAGACCAATATACACAAGATGCAAGAGAATTTATAAAGAGAATGAAATAGTTAAAAGGAAGATTAGGTTTTGCAAAGATAACAGGGACACAGGGGTGAAAAAAAAGAAAAAAAGAAAAATGTTAGCGTCGCGTTAAAAGTGTAAACCGTAACCCTGCAGTTCTGCTAGGCACCCCCTGTTTCATGTGTATTTGTTCTGAAGACCTCGAATTTCCAGGCAATAAGAGCTCACTATGACTGATACAGTCCCTGCTGGTGAGTCATGCAGCCGCTGCAAAGATCGGACTGACTAGACCGAGACAGCTGTTCCCACGGATGATGGTAAACTCTTAATCAGAAACGAAATTGGCTCCAAAATTTTGAACATAACGTTTGCACAAAAGCTAATAAAATACTTGAAATTCTATCAAGTAGGATCCTAGAGAGTTTTGTAACTTAAAATTAAACAAATTAGGTTTTAATTTTCTGTTGTGCTAGAATGTTACAACAGTCTTACAAGCATGTATTTCTTTGCTGTTGCTAAAGGTGCAATAAAAAAATCAACCTGCTAAACAATGTTCCGCCACCTTAATGATCACCAAATACCTCCCAATCAAATCAACTTTCCATCACAGGACTGGGAATACATACATTATTACTACTATTTTAAAATTATAGAATAGATTTTTTTCAGATAAGCACACATTTCCAAAGAACACTAAGTTGTCACTAGAAAGCTATCAGAGATCTAGAAACAAGATGAAAATTATCAGTGTTACAAAGCTGTATTAGGTAGAAGATGAGGCTGAAAATGGTGGCCTTGCTAAAGTCACTGAGAAAAGCCCAAGGAGGGATAGACATGCTTTACGTTCACACTTATATTTTTATAAATAATTACTAAAAAATTGAATCAGGGATGCTAAAACTTCAATATGCTATAATGTTAGTGTTTAAATAATCACTATAAATTAATAATAAGCTATTCAACTTCACAGTGGCTACTAATATCTTGAAGGCAACCTAAAAATAACAAGAATAAGACCATTAATATTTATAATTTATAAATGTTAATTATATATTAGTTATATTAGAATTATATAAGCTTGATTAATGCAATTAACATTAAATTATATTAAGATTAATATAAAATTAAATATATTAAAACATGATATAATTATCCCGAAATTTAATAATATAGAAATATTATTTTTATTGCTACTTTAAGGTCCTAATAGCATGAATTCTTTTAAGTTAGTAATATTAAATAGTAACAATATTTTAATGATAGGTGGTAATATGGTTGTATGTATATTAAAAGCGACAATATGATCTCCTTCCCTAAATTAGAATAAGAATCTTAACTCAAACATTTTTATAGCCCAGTATTCCATAATAACCACATCAACCGAATCTGTTAGAATTATGCAAGTTACGCGACGGGGCCAGCAGCGCCCCGCTAGCGCCCCAGCAGCGCCCCAGCAGCGCCGGCAAGCGCGCGCTCGGGAAGGGGCGCCCGGAGAGGACCGCGAGCTCCCCCGGAGGGCGCCGGCCCCCTGTACCTCGGCCACGTGCAGGGGGGTGGAGTGGCAGTTATCCAGCCGCACGCCCTGGAAATGGGTCGCCGTTATCTCCGTGTATTTCCTCATGTGCGCCCACAGGTAAGGGCAGTCCTCCGGCTTATTCCCGTAGCGCAGCTTCACGCTGTCTCCCCAGCAGATGAGCTCTCTCCGGAGATAAACTTCTGACCCTGTTTAGAAAGGAGCTCGCTCTCAGCGATGTCAGAAGTACAATGAAAAAAAAAAAGAAAAAAAGAATCGCTTCGAGGAAACGCTCTTGTTTTTAAATCACATGGACTATTTCCACCACAGACCACAGGTATACATTGATTGAAATGATATCCTGAAAGGGTTTGGGATAAAGTGTTTAAAGAGTAATATTAATGTATATCATCTATTTTGCAAAAATTCTAGCTTATAGTCTCTAGCTTAAGTCAAAAATTCAAGTGGCTTCTTAAAGGAAAACAGTAAGACCCATGTCATTGGTCCTTTAAAGCTACAGTTCCAGCAAAAGCACTGAAAGCTCCGTTCCCACCTGCCACCCCTTGTCGTCAACGGGCGACGTAAATCCCTGACATGGAGCGGAAGGCTCTTCTCCTTTAGAAGGGCCAGAGAGCAGAGGGCCGAGATGCTTAGGCCCAAAGTTACATCCCTTCCTTTTCAATGAGATTTTAAACTTAGGCCGATTGCCGCTAGAGCAGACTTCTCATCCGGAAATGTTAAAATAAACACAGCAATGGGGTTCCTGTAAATTCTTCCCAGCAACAAAATAGGTGTAAGAAAGATGGGATGTTAGGAAAAAGTGAGAGGGAACCTAGAAACAATGAGCTTCCAGTTTAATTGCTATTCAAGTAGCTGAATGCTTCTGTCTAATGAGTGAAAACATCTCTTGCGGCAAAATAGTTGCAATAGCAGCGGTTCCAAGGGGCTTGAAAAACGCCGCAGAATGGACTTTTGCCGAATTGCAGTCTTACGCACAACCCCAGTTAAGAGCCAGATCTACAAAAGCCGTCCGGTGTGAGGAGGTGGCTGGGGCGGGGAGGTGAGCCCCATGCCTCCGCCCGGCCTCCCCTCTGAGCCGTGCGTCCTGCCCCCTCGGCGATGCAGGGGGGGCGGGGTGTGGGCCGCGGGGTCGAGCCGTCTACCGCCTGAGCCTGCGTGGCCCTCCCTGCCCTGGCCGCGGAGACTGGCAGAAGCGGCGGCGCACGGACCTGGCTCGGCGAAGTTGCGCAGCGGGTCGTCTCCCATGACCCAGCCGTTATGCGCCATCAGAAAGCAGGCTTTGTCTGGGACGTGGAGCAGAGACTCTTCTGCCGAGCGGGACATGCCCTCAAACGGGAACGTGAAGTATCTGTGGGGGAGAATTCGACACTGAATCCACGCGGAGACACTCGCTGGGGACAACTGAACGAGCACCATGCAAGTGACATTTCTTCCCCAGTGAACTAATAAATAAGACTAGTTTGTCACCATTCGTGGGAGATAAATTTCAACATGGGTTTGAACCCTTCGGCGGACTTTTTGAGTAAATCTCGTAGACTTTGAGGGATGAAGGGGTAGCATTATAATGTATCTGGTCAACATTTTAAATAATAATGTACAAAGTCTCATGATTTACTAATACACTCGCTGAGGTCCTGATGTTACGTGCTGCACCGTCGCTGCACGAGTTGAAAAGAGCTCAGTGTTTGCTCAATTTGATTGTCACTGAAATCACTAGTAAGGACCAGCCCTCCAGACACAGTAATGTGAGCAATGATGAATTCCTTCCCATTACTGACAGCGTCTCTAACTAAAGACCGGCCTAACAAAATCCATGAATAGTAAGCCTGGTAACCAGATTGGAACTTCTGATTCCCCTTTAAGAAATGTACTAGAAGTCACACATTAAAGGAAACACCGAGGCTAATTTGAAAAGTTAAATACAATGTTTAACCTTTAATGAGAAGAACACAAAAGTGAAATACCTGGTAACTAAAGGGTATTTTCTAGTGACAGGTCCTAGTTTGGGGCCATGGCCAGCCAGTCGCTCATAAAACACGTTTCCCAAAAGGCAATTAACCGCCTAGAAAACATTAAATTTTGTTACATCAATAACAACAACACACAGTGTTAAGATTCAGAAAAAAAACAACCCGGAGTTGAAACATAGGTAAGACCTGTTCCTGGTGATAGTTCATGAGCTGATGCTTCTCTGAATTTAATTCCTCGATTCTCTTCCGGAACCAACTGCAGCATTCGTCAATTGCGGCTGGCCCCTGGCTAGAGCAGGCAGAGCAATACAAACCTATTATTTAATGCTTCGGCAAGTTCTAAGTTCAAAGATTTTCTAGGAGCAGGGTGAACAAGGGGAAGGGATTAAGCAATTCAAGTTGGTAGTTACAGAAGAGTCACAAGACATAAGATACAGCCTAGGGAATATAGTCAACGATATTGCAACAGCTTATTGCATGGTGCCAGCTAGGTGCTGGATTTACGGGGCTGATCACTTCTTAAGTTATGCAAATGTCTAATCATGGGGTTGTCCACCTGAAACTAACATAATATTGTAAGACAAGAGTAACTGAAAAGTAAAAATGTATTTAAAGTAAAAAAAAAAAAATTTAATGAAATGAAAAAAATTTCTAACAAGGGTCACAGAGTCTTTAAATACATTCATGAGAATCTTCATAATGGCTGAAGAAGTTATCCCATTGTAAACGTTTTTACCTACAGCCACAGGAACGTGGACCAGCATACAGAAAAACGGGGACATGCTGCGTACTCACAGTACTGGAACTATGGCGAGTTACTTTATTTCACTTTCTATCCAAACGTTTATAAACACTATGAAAAGAACACCAGCCCGAAAGCTTTGTAAGTAACATTATTCTTTACTTCACAGCCCGCAGGACATACTCATGGGGGATGAAGGTGGCCAGTGCGACGTTCATGTCCACGGTACAGCCCAGCCGCCGGTATTCGGGGTCCTGAAGAATCTTGAGGTGTTGCTGGGGATCGGGCTTGGTTGTTATTTTCCTATTTCCTGGGGGCGGGGGAGGGAAGATATCGTGAATGCGAATCCACAGGGGAAATTGTAACTGTTACGGATTCCAAGGAGTAGTTTGTCATTTTTTCCTAGAAAATAAAACAAATGCTTATTTCACAAGCATCCTTCCTACCTCCGCCTCCAGCCTCCTGCTCCCCTCCTAACCCACACAGGTACACACACAGGGAGAGAGACAGACAGACAGACAGAGAGAGACAGATTCAAAGAGAGAGAGAGGGAATCGAACGTTATAGGAGGCGGCCACGGGGGTTCCTATCAGTCCCACCCCAGTCCCACTGGTCTGCCGCCTCAGTCTCCTCTCATTCTGTCCATTTTTAGGGCAACAGGAACGTTGGTGCAAGTTTTCTTGCCCGGCTCCGCACCAAACATGCTGCCCGCAGGAGCTCCCCGCCAGGCTGCCTCCTGCTCCCTCACAGCAGGGACGCCCTGCGGGCAGCCCGGCTTTCTCTGCGGCCCTGAGGGCACACAGGCTGCTTGTGATACTTTTTTTCTTTTTCTTTTTTTTTTTACCGACAAGCACATGCCTTGCATAATAATAAAATTTTAAAAAGTGAATCAATGTTCTATGAGGGGAATTTTCAGTCCTTTTCGGGAGTGTGCTCCTGATCAATCAGGTGCAGGCGCACGACTGCCTCTCCTGGGCTGGATTTTACATTAACTCACTAATGTTCCTGAAGGGACTTGGACACGGCTCACGAAAGCACAGACAGAGTAAGAGAAAGTATAGATTCCTAAAAATCTAGTTTCTGAGGTTCACCTGGAAGAGTAACTATATGAAAACTGCCAAGAAATATTTGAAAAAGAGAAAAAGCTACATAATCAGTATAAATTATAAAGCAGTCTTCAGTATTGACAGGACAACAGACAGACAGACAGACGCTGGAGCAGCACAGATCGCAGAGCCGTGCCGCGCGTGCTTGGTATGTGACTACATACACTGTGAGGTGTTACGGCAGTTCTCCAAATCCGCGTGAAAGGATGGATTACCATCCATTCATCTCTACTGAATAAAAATCAAGTTACGTAGCTTCTTTCTATAATACACAGAATAACCCTCAGGTGTATTAAATATCAAGTGTAAAATATAAGATCATTAGAAGAAAGCATAGAATGTCGATGGAAGGTCTTTTCTAAGCGTGATGTGAAATCAGATGCCTTAATAGAAAAGATTGACAAATTTGACTACAGAGGAAAAAAAATACCACCATAAACAAGAGTTAAAAGGTCAGCAGCATATGAGGAGAATATATCTGAGGCCAGTATAATAAGGAATCGCCAATAATAATAAATCAATATCCAAAAGACAACCCAATAGAAAAATGGAGAAATAACACAAATAGACAATTAACAGAAAAACTATAAATGGCCACCGTGAAGAGATATTTCACTAACAAGCAAAGAAATGCACATTAAGACGAGAACTATTTCGCCTGATTGGCAAAGGTTATAAAGATTCATGGTTATCTAATGCTGGTGACAACATATGCTGTTACAACTTGTGTTGAAAAAGCAATTTAACAACACCTATTGCAAATTTACCATTAAATTAGGTACCCTTCGACCCAGTAAGTCTATGTCCGACAATTCAGCCTACAGATTTACTCAGCATAAGCAAGTAAAAATAACATGTATGAGGACGGAGTTTCTCTAGTGCTGCTTGTAAGAGTGTGCGGTCCTGAATCCCCGAGCCCAGAGGAGGGTCCGGCGTTTACTGAGTGGGTGGGTCTGCAAACACGTACTGAATGAAAGAAGGAAGGAACGATGAAAATACAGCCCATCTAAGACTAAAGAAATTCAAGTACGTCAAAACTGCCTTGCTATCTAGAGCTGAGAAGAAGTAATTGGCTGTAGTAAAATCATATTTTCAACTAAAAGAACAAGTTGTTAGATGGTCTGTATGCTGCAGTCTCATTGTGTGTGTATAAAATAGATCTAAATAGAGAATGTATAATTTATATACACGTGATATTAAAATGCATTTAAAATTTGAATTTCTGTCAAGAAGACTCTGAAAAGAAACAATCGGTAAGTTCCCTGTAAGAAGAGTTTGGGGGGAGAGGAAGTCACACATCCTATTTATCTATTCTATTTTTGCACTCTTCGGCTCTTTTTTTCTTTCCTGTGAGCACACATTATGGCATACAAACAATAGAGCTTATAAATATCAGAGCAAATAGAAGATAAAAGCCATTTAGTAAAATAAAACACGAGGGGAAGTTTACACCAAAACTCCGATGCTTTAAGACGCTACACCGCTGCGAAAGCTGGAGGGTGCCCCGACCCTGAACTTCGCGGACCTCGGGCCACGCCGACCTGGAAGGCGGCATTGGTTGCCGGGTCCCACGCCAGCTCTGGCATCTGGTCGAGGAAGAGAATTCCCCACTTCAAGAGCCACTAACTGCAGACACAGCCCATACGGGCTGCCTAACTCGCCTCCTAACACCCTGCTTTCTCTTTTAGCCTCGTTTCTCCTCTCCTACTTGGTCGGGAGCACAGTGCCCAGCTTCATACGGTTAGTTACGTCCTTAACTCGTGATTCATTTACCTTTTGTTACTGGCTAACATCTGGGGCAGCCTCACCAGGGGCTGGGTGGCCTTAATGGCAGAAGCTCGACCCCAGGAGCCCTACTTTAACCAACAGAAGACTATGACAATTTTGCGTCAAAGCCTGTTTCAAACTTTTTTGTAGCTGAAATAATCTGCTCTACTTCCCTCCTGTTCATGCACTTAAATATATGTTGAGCTCTACCGTATTCTAAGCATTGTACAAAGGAACCAAGAATAAGAAATAGTCCTCAAAGGAAATAACCGTGTTACACGTTATTATGACACGCTCTTCTATCAGAGAGCTTCCAAAAGCATAGTTGTATAGTATCAAAACAACGCAAATATCGTATAACAAATTTAATAATGGGTTAATCAAGAGAAAAGAGGAGTAATGGTAAATTTCTTCAAACTGGTAGGAGCACTGTAGTGTAGATCCTAATTTACCTTGTGTAAGGAGTCCTCTAAATTGCTCAACTGCTTTGTCAACGTCTACTTGGAAAAATTCCCAGAGCCGAATCTTTGGAAAAACCTCCTCCCAAATTATTCTTCGAATGCACTGAAAAATGTCAATAGATAACAAATAGGTATATATTTAAAATCTTTTTACCAAGTATTATTTAGCACATCAACGGGCAGATTCTAAGTAACCGTCAACCACACATTTCGTCTGCCCTTGAGAAACTCGGGGACCGTGCGCTAGCGCAACACTCCTCTGTGCCCACTCACGTTCATTTGGTGGTCGTTTTCGATCAAAGCGGGCACCCCTCTTTCCCCGTATCTCCCCTCAGCCACGTCGCAGGACAGGTGCCACAGTGCTCTGTCTAAGACCCAGGCAGGTTTCAGGTGCGGAGAATTTACTAGGTTATACGCACTCTCCGGATGTTGCTGGATCCACTTGCTGTTAGCAGCTTAAAGAAAAAGGAAACACAAAGGAAGATCCTGTAATAAACTGTAGTGTCTACGTTAGGTTTAAAGGTAAAAGAGAATGTCACCATCGACCCCTCGTTTTCTTATATATTAGACATCAGCATTTTATGACACTGGAACATAAAAAAAAAAGTTTTGGCTCTGCTACCCCATTGTTCACTTCACCATCCATTTTCCTCTTGTTGTAGGAATTTTTCATCGTTAGTAGACAGGATGCAACACTGATTTCTCAACACCATTGTAATAACACGTTTCCTGTTGTCGGGGGTTGGGGGGGTTAAGAAGGGTTTGTCCCCAGCCTGTTTTGATGGTCCCTGAGTCAACTCTATTTTGGAATGCTCCTTCGAGGCCCAAGGGACATCCTTCCCTTGCCTCAGCTTCAAGCTCTGGCCCTGCGTGACAGCACAGAGCCACCCGCGCCTTCAGCTCCGGTGTAGGCTGCCCAGCGTCGGCGGCCACGCTCTAGGGCAGGCCACTGGCCTCCCCTTCCATTCATTCTCTCCTGCCTTTGCTCTCCCAGGTGAGAGGGCCCTTCTCTGGTTCTCTCTCCAACCCTAACGTTCGCACCTCAAAGGCCACGCGCTCCTTTTTCCCTCTGCAAACTCATTTCTTCCTGTGTCTCTTTGGGGGTGGGGGCAGTGAAGACATACCATATCTCTCCAAAGCTAAGAATAAAAACACATATCCTGTCTCAGAAGTTATTGCTCTAACTTCTGCACAGTCTCTTAGTATCAAGAACGAGTGTCTGGAAAATCCAGCTTATCTGTTTCCACTTCCTCCCCACACGCTGCAAACCGCTGCGTCTGGCACGCGGCCGCGGCTGCTCCCAGCCTCCCAACCGTCACCGTGTGCCACGCTCTCATCCTCCTGCAATTCAGCCTCTGCCGCCTTTGCCATTCCCCGTTAGTCCCTCCTTGATACGCATGCAGGTGCGTACACACTGATTATGTATTCAGCTAACACGTTAGTGTTCTTTGAAAGAAAAAGAAAGAAGTGGTATCCTAGAAAGTGATTTTTAAATGGAAGGACACCTAAGCGTCATTTGTGTTTTCAATGTCGTCTCAAACTGCAAAGAATGAAATAATTAGAATATTTTTGTCACAACTAATAGTAGTTAACGAAGCTCATACCGGTATGATTGTAGACCACATCGGTAATGCAAAGAATATTCCATTCCTTTTTCAATTTTTCCACTAGCTGCCCAACATCATTCCAGGTGTACTTTTTATTAGGTCTTGAAAAGTCGGGATTTAATTCCAACTGATCGGCAAGGGAGTAGCACGACCTCGATTCTCCAAGGGTCTGCAGCGGGGTAAAATGAATCACGTTGTAGCCTGCAGTGCCAGGAAATAAAGAGAGATCGCTGTAAAAACAACAACAACACACCTCAAACTAAGCTCCATACAACTTCCTTAGGTAATTCTAAACAGGACGGCAACCATGGTACGAGCAAAAGGGTCAAACACGTGGGTTCAAATCTGGGCTGTACCACAAGTGACATCAAGCAAGGCCACTGAAGTCTCCCAGGGCGGGGTGTGGTCCTACAGAGACAGAGACAGCGAGGTGATGTGTTTCAAGAAAATCACAGGCAGCGCCTCGTTACCATCAGCGGCCCGATGCACGTTCGTTGAATGGATATATTTACATGTAGAAAATCTACCCAATGCAAGTATATCGGCATGTGTTTCTCCTGTTTTTTATTTTATTTTACTTTTTAAGTATATTTTACTGATTATGCTATTACGCTTGTCCCAATTTTTTCCCCGTTTGCTCCCCTCCACCTAGTATACCCCCTCCCTCCAGCCACCCCACACCCCCAGTTTATGTCCTTGGGTCCTGCGTGTAAGTTCTTTGGCTTTTCCATTTCTTACGCAGTTCTTAACTTCCCTCTGTCTATTTTGTTCCCACCAATTATGCTTCTTAATCTCTGCACTATTTCCCCATTCTACCCCTCCCCCTCCCAGCTGATAACCTTCCAAATGATCTCCATATCTATGATTCTCTTCCTGTTCTGGTTGTTTGCTTAGGTTTTTTTGTTTGTTTGGGTTTTTTTTTTAGATTCAGTTGTTGATAGTTGTGAATTTGTTGCCTTTTTAATGTTCATGGTTTTGATCTTCTTTTTCTTAAATAAGTCACTTTAACATTTCATGTAATAATGGCTTGGTGATGATGAACTCCTTTAGCTTTCCCTCGTCTGGGAAGCACGTTTTCTGCCCTTCAATTCTCAACGATAGCTTTGCTGGAGAGAGTGATCTAGGTTGTAGGTCCCTGCTTTTCACCACTGGGAATACTTTTCGCCACTCCCTTCTTGCCTGCAGAGTCTCTTTTGAGAAATCTGCTGATAGTCTTATGGGAACTCCTTAGTAGGTAAGTCTTTGCTTTTCTCTTGCTGCTTTTAAGATACTCTCTTTATCTTTAACCTTTGGCATTTTAATTATGATGTGTCTTGGTGTGGGCCTCTTTGGATCCAACTTGTTTGGGACTCTCTGTGCTTCCTGGACTTGTGTGTCTATTACCTTCACCAAATTAGGGCAGTTTTCTTTCATTATTTTTTTCACATGAGTTTTCAATTTCTTGCTTTTCCTCTTCTCCTTCTCGCATCCCTATGATTCTGATGTTGGTATGTCTGGAGATGTCCCAGAGGTTCTTCAGCCTGTCCTCATTTTTTTGAATTCATGTTTCTTTTTTTCTTCCTGGTTGAATAGTCATCTCTTCCTTATATTCCAATACGTTGGTTGGAATCCCATCTTCCTTTCCTTCTCTGTTGGTTTCCTGTGGATTACTCTTTATTTTACTTAGTGGGACTTTCATTTCTTCCTTTGTTTTTTTTCTGTACTCAAGGAGTTCTCTGAGCATCCTGATAACTAGTGTTTTGACCTCTGCATCTAATAGGTTGGCGATCTCCATTTTGCTTAGCTCTTTCTCTGGGGTTTTGTGCTGTTTTTTCATTAGGGCCATTTCCCTTTGTCTCCTCAATTTGGCAGCCTCCCTGTGTTTGTTTCTGTGTATTCAGTGGAGCTGCTTTGATTCCCCATCTTAGTAGCGTGGCCTCCTGTAGGAAAGGCACCTGTAAACTGTGTGGGGTGGAGCCTCAGGTCACTGTCGGGGGGGGGGGCACCCGCTTCACCCCTTTGTGGCTGTGTTGGGAAGGCCTGAGAGGGGACAATTCCGCCACCTGGCTTCTGGTGGTCCGCCGGGTGGTGAATCTGGAGCGCGTGGGCGGGTGTGCGTACATTCGAAGACCCTGGCCCTTTCAGTGGCGAAATCCAGCCGTTTTCTCTGCCGTCCCACCTCCTGCTGGTTTTCACAGCCAGAGGTAATGGAGATCTGTCTTCCTGACGCTGGAGCCCTGCTCTGCGCGGCCCGTCCTTGGGCTGGGAGCGCCGGCTTCCAAGGTGGCCCTCTTCGTTCCCGGCCACTGCCACCTCCCCGCCCATGTCTGCGACCCCGGCTCTCCCGCCCGGCCGGAGGAGTGTGTCTTCTTTAAATCCTTGGTTACTGGACTTCCATGCAGCTCCGCTTTCGCCAGGCCTGGGTGTTATTAATTTTGAGATCGGGTTGTAATTCTTTCTATGGTTGTGTGAGGAGGCAAAGCACGACTGTCTACACTTCCGTTTTGACTGGAAGTCCCCTCTCTTACTTTTATGTCCTGCAATAACTCGGATTTTGTTTCAGTGATGACGGGGAACTCCTCACTTCTTTCTTCACACTGTATTAAGCTTGGAAGTAGAAAATTAATGTGACCCTTTATTGAAAATACAACTTGTCTCATTTTTCTCTTGGTATGAATGGCAACCTTCCATATACACCTTCCACACAGAAAACAGTTAACCAGTATTTGTTGCCTCAGTGCATATATAAAGATAATACATTTTCCAACACATTTTAAATAGTGTACTACTAATTTTTATATGTCAAAGTAAAGTCTTAGAAACAATAGTGATCTTATTTCATCACAGTTCCTTAAGTTGAACCATATAATTGGTCATTTTTACAGGTAAAAATGGTTGTGTCAAGAGTTTCATATAGTTCCATCTATTTATATTACTAACTATACTAAGAAACACACTTAAGAGGAGAATCAAAGCCTTGAACATCTGTATCACAGGCAGTGGTTACATTGACTTTTAAAAACAGGGGGGGAAAGGGAGCTGCCGTTACCCGACTCCTTGGCGACCCTCAGCCGGCTTTCCCAGTCGTCAAAGGGCCCCAGGCACTTCGCCAAAAATGTCTGGAGAGTAACACAGTCCAAGGGCAGCACCCGGTTATCGGCACCGACACGTAAGACGGGGTCCACGACTATGTAACCCCCACCACTTTTCTCATTCCTAAGAAAGGGAAACAAAATCACAACTTCGCAATCGGTGGTCGGGCAAAGAGCCGCCTCTAATAGTCTGACTCCTCTAAGTGACCTGCTCCATGGGCTTATAAAAGTGTACTTATAAGCACATAAAATCATTTAAAAAGTTGTAATAAAACCCAATGAAAGCTCAGTTTTATCCTTTTTCAATCTTTATATAATAACAATACAGTACATATAATGTCCCATAATGCTGCTTGAAGGAAAACTAAACGTACTAAAACCTGTCAGTGGTGACAAGAACACTCAGGCAAACATCACCCTCTAATCAGGCTGCATGAAAAGACTAGCATTTAAGCTGTTATCTAAAAAAATAATAATAATACTTTGAATCTGCAATGAGCCTTCCAGTCCCTTCCTGGAAGACCATATTCTGTTTGCAGCTCAGAAATTCCCGTAAAAACAGCAATGGCATGGTTAATATGATCACTTTTTACAAGTTGGATACATTTAAATTACAGAATAAATTAAGTTCTTTGTTCAGATCCAGAACACCTCACTCACCCTTGAAGGAAGTAATACTGAAATGATCCAGCTTGCTGAAGGTTAAGTTTACAGTATTTATCAGAATCATCTTCTCTTTCTGATGGATTTTCCCATTCCAGGGAACGGAACTTTTCTCGATTAAATGTTTCTCCAGGAAATGGGTAATTTGTGTGCACAGTAACTGCTTTCCCCTGTAAAGTTGGGCCTAATCGAAACTGCAGTTCAAACCCTAAACAGAAAGCACATTTTGATAAAGGTGTTGTAGGACTTCAGTTAGTTAGCACATGAAAATAAAGATGTTTTAGTTACAAAAACTATGTTACAAAGCTATAGTTACAAAAACTATGATTTAGCAACCATGTTTAAAATAACTCCAGATACCGTAACAGCTATTTTTGGAATTACTCCATCTTCCAAGGGGGCTGAATTTTATATTTTAACAAACAGTACCCATCAAAACAGACGACACGCATGAAATGATCCAGGACATCAAACAACAAAGGACGGTGATTCTTGAGAGATGGAACACAAACAAGGTCAGTCCTGTAACTTCCCCGCCTGCTAGCTTGGAAGACCTTGCGAGGTGAGGCACAAGGAGGGGAAACCAGGCACAGCTCGACCGGCCTCCTGCGCCGAGGAGATGGAGCTGAGAATCCGCGAGACCACGGCAGCCCGCGACTGCAGATGAGAGCAGCGAGTGAGGCTGAGAACTCCGCACAGACGGGGAGCTCCAGCGACCTGAAAGAAGGCCCCCCTTGAGCATCCAGCGGGCTGCCGATCGGCTCACGTCCATGAGGAAAATAGTGAGAAACGGCATTTGTTTTCACCAGGCGGACGGAAAAAACTCCTAATTCATGAGGCACTGGGTAGAAAGTTCAAAAGGCTCCTGCTTCAGGAGTGGGGAATGATGAGCCTTAGACAAGGCTAGTTCTAGACCGGCCTACCACGCTATAAAAGTAAAATTCAAAAGAATTAAAATAGTTCCAACGAACTTCATTCTAGAACAAAAAGCAAAAGCATTTCTAAGAATCCCAAATTACCCAGCACCCAACAAGATAAAGTTCACGATGGCTGGCGTCCAGGATTATGAGACATCCAAAGAAGCAGGAAAACACAAACCTGACGAGGAGAATAATCCATCTATGAAAGCTGACCCATCCGTGATACAGACGCTGAACTAGCACATAAGGAAGGCCGTTTATTTTCATAACGATAATCCACATGCTCAACGTGTTAAGTCCAGGCATGAGAAATATAAAAAATAAAAACAAAAATGATCCAAATCGAACCTTTAGAGATGAAAGCTACAATGTCTGAGATGAAAAATACATAAGGTAGAATTGACAGATGGTGAGACGTGTCAGGAAAAAAGTTAGTGATTTTAAGACACAGGACTAGAAACTATGCAAAATGAAACAAAAGAATAAAAGAATCTAAAAAAATTGAAAGAGCATTAGGGACCCATGGGACAACTCAAGTGGCCTTCGAGTCCTCAACAGAGAGGAGCGAGAAGGGGGACGTAAGTTAGTTACCTGAAGAAACAATAGGTTAACAATTCCCATATTTGATGAAAAAAATAAACTTACAGATCCAAGAACGTCAACAACCCCCCTGCCCCGCACAAGGAGCGCCAAGAAAATTACCCCCACGGGTTTCTCCTGGGAAATAACACAAGCAAGAAGACAGTGGAACAACATCCTCAAAGGCGTTGAAAGATTAGCACCGGCAGCCTAGAATTCTACACCTGGGGAGAATATCTTTCAGAAACAAAGGTGGTGAGAACCAGGTTTTCCATTGGCGGAGAAAGGTGTTAGACAACAACCAGGGGAAAGCTGCAATGGGCCCTGCTGCGGTGGGTATGAATCAGAGATATTAGTAGACTTGTGATTTACATATTATTTGTTTACATATAAAGAGTGTCGGTTTGGCTCAAGGCAAATCTCCAAATAGAGAAAGTTTCAGTCACGTCTAAAATTGCCCTTTGGTAGGAGTAAAGCCCTTAGAGCGCTGTTTGACTGAGGGTAAATTCTACGCCACAGTATTAAATGTTGGGTGAGGTATGCTCTGTGGACCGAAGGTTCCAATAAAAGGCATTAAGAGAATGCTGGGCTCTTCCAATGCACTCTAATCCAATTAAATAGTTCTACAGAATTGCTTAGAGACACGTGAGGCTCTGTTTTGCATACTGAAATATGAATAACAGGAGGGAATGGAAGTTTTAGGTATTCCTGGCAAAAAATATAATCTAGTTAGAAGTACTGGGAATCATATTTCTAGATTGGATTAATATATGGCTATACATTTCTTCATAGTAAATGGCTTTAGCAAGCAAGAAACGAATAATCCAAATGAGGTTATTAAGTAACTTTGCCAAAATCCAAGGACTCGCTTTTACATCTCACACTGTACAGTCAAATTAATAATTTATTTTCCAAGTAATTACACAAATTTCCCTATAAAGCAATTTGGTGTAAATATACTGAGAATGTTAATAAGGCTAATTTTTGACCCAATAATGTTATATATACCTGTACAAGGTATGGCAAAAAGTAGGTTTACAGTTTTTGTATGGAAAATGGTACAATAATTAAGAAAAAATAATACAAGAATAAACTGTGTTTTGCGTACTCATAGCTGTAAACCTACTTTTACCCCACTTTGTATTTTCTGAGGAATTAATCAGTGATTTAAACATAGATTATATATAAGGATGCTAATCACAGCCTCAGTTATTATAATTAAATAAACTGACAACGAGCTAAATATCTAATGGATGGGAATGAGTAAATAAATTAAGGTGTAAATTATGGTATTCTGCAAGCTGGACTATTATAAAGCCATTATAAATCATATTATCAAAGCTATTTAATAACATGGACACTTTTATATTCTGTTTGGTTACATTTTATGCATCTACATAGACTTTTTAAAATCCATCTGGAAAAAATGTATGGCTGAGACGTGACTGCCAGCATGGAGGTGGCACTCACACACCATATGACACTACAAGCAGGCTTCACATTGTTGAGATAGTGGAAACCCAATTTTGTTTTGAAACAAAAAACACAGAATAAAGACCTTTTATACATTTCTATCATTTTCTACTTGGGGGAGGGAGACATCATTTTAAAATTAGAACTACAATTATGAAGATATAGATTGAGAGATAATTGAAGAATTAAATTCTAAAGTTTTAATACTTAGTGGCTATGAGAATCGTAAGTATCTAGATCTTTGTAAGAATGATTAAATTCATTACAGAAGAAATGGTGTCATTTTGAACAAGTACAAATATCAGAGATTAGCTGTCTGAGCATATTTAAACAACCTGTCCCTGTTCAGTTTATGCAAACATTGTTTTTATAATTACACAAGGATTCAGGGTACAAAGGTTGAAACATCCAAATATTTTAAAACAGTATTTGGATCAGTGGTTTATCTTCAGAAAAGAAATGAGAAGCATTCTCCAAATATGAATATTTTTTAATGTAATATACATGTATGATGATTTAATAGACTATGTACATTATAAAAACACAAAAATAAGGGTAAGATGTAAATAAAATAAACAATATTTTAAATAACTGATTTTATTTAGTAATAGATGGAAAGATCTTTTAACTTACTAAAAATCAATATTGATAGTATCTGTCTAGGAAAGGCATATGATTAAATAAATTTCATTAATTTTCAATATCTTGTGATAAAGTGATTTAAAGACTCCAACTTCTGTACATTTTAATACTTGGTTTAATGGTCTCAGATTTGAAAAAATACCGCACAAAGATACCCAAGTCCCAATGGAAGGAGTTGTTGGTGGCTACATTTACTAATCTATGACATTAACTCTTCAATCCCATCCACCGATTATGAAAAGATTTTTGTTGAAATGTGCTAGTAAATATATATTTTCCCTGCCATACATCAATTGTTTTTACAAGCTAGTTAGAAGATATTCCACGTTTATATATCAAACAGATGATTTGAAAAGCAACTGGAACTCTTCATTGGGAAGATTTTAAACAGATTAGAAAATTTTATTAATTAACTTTTTAAAGGGGGAGGATAATCATTTTGTATGGGTAAAATCTTACGATAGAAGCGTTACTAAAATACGTATTCACAGTGCTCTGTACGGCAGGGGTCGGCAAACCATCCAACCCGCCACCTGCTTCTGTAAAGCCTGATGGGCACCCAGCACAGCCCCTCGCCAATGACGCGCCTGCCGCACGGGGACGGCGCGATGGCAGAGCTGAGCAGCTGCGACAGACGGCCTAGGCCCTGCGAAGCTGGAGATACTGGCTCTGTGAACCGTTCCAGAAAAAAAAAAGGGCTGAATTTTTCTCTATCGCATCAACTTCCATCAAAAAGCAGTCAAGTTCCTCATGTTGACCTCCTAGTTAAATTGTGTTTATTTTTACTAAAAATATTTTCTCAGGATCATACTGTTGAAAGCTACGGGTCATTCCTGAAGAGCACAAATCTCTGACGGCAAGTGTCAGACACTTTTCTCACTCCTCTTTAAGCTTGACAGCCTGGGGCGGTAAATGGGCGTGCACGGCTCCTCTGCCCTAAGTGTGCCGTGCAGAACCTTCACAGTATAGTGTTCTCTATCTTTCCAAAACGACTCTCCCCTCAATATAACTTGTATCTCTACTTAACCTGGTCTGGATAAAGTATAATTAATTCACGGCAGCCTATCGCAAGCAAACTAGTGGTGGTGTGACTGATAATTCCTTCTAGACCTGCAACCTCCATGGTTTCCTCAGGACAGGTCCCTTTGTTTATAACTCACCTGACACGCAACCTGAAATTATCTGTGTCAATTCATATAGCTGAAAAACTGAATTACTTTTCTAACACTAATATAAATAGGTAGGGAGGGAAAGAGAGAAAAGGAAAAAAAAACAAAGAAAAGAAAAGATAAATCCTATAGTTTCTTCCTCTACCCTAACAGATAAAAATCAAGCACACCTCCCCCAAGCACACATTGCCTCTATGTAGACTCTAATCCAAGTTCCTAAAACTGTAAATGAAGCGTTAGAATACAGAGAGTATGTCAGATTCCATAATTAATTGCACAGTTTGCTAAAATTAGCTTGGGGCGTAGCAGTACATGGTGTGGCTATCCTATTCCTCACACTAACATCTCTCCTGCAGGCAACCGGCGAGATGGCTGATTACACTATTACTGTGAACTAAGTTTTCTATTTTGTTCCCTCCACTGCATTTATACAGACTCAAGCTCCAAATCGAAGAACCTGTATAAATAGTTTCTTTACAAAAAGTAAAAACTGAAATTTGACCATCCTACGTAAAGGATGGAAGAATTCCATGTGTGGGAAATACTGATTTTGGTCCTTATTCTGCCACTAAACGAGATACAAAATACAGAGAAAGCCTATAATTTGGCTAGAAAAGATAATTATTTGGTCTTGTACTTGTTGAGTCAGAGAAATCTACAGAGATATTAGCCTTAAAAATGAGGAGGAATCCTTTTTAGGAAAAAGTGAAAAGGAAAGAAAAATAAAGAAAAGCTTGGTGACCAATTAAATATGAAAAAAAAACAAAAATTGCCAGTTTCGTTTCCATATTTCATTGGTCGCCAAGTCCTATGAATTTTAAAATGTCTCACAGTCTGTCCCCCTTTTTCCAACCCTGATGTAGGGAGACCCTTCTCTTTAAATGGGCGTATTTTTACAACGGCCTTCTCAATGGTTTCTCATGTCCTGTGCCCCTTCTCTTCCTTGTCTACACTACAATGATCTTTTAAAATAATATGAGTGCATGGTTACTGCACAAAACATTGGCTATGTTCTCGTTGGTACTATCTGGATGAATTTACTGATTTTAACTAGAGTTAAGAGTCAACCGCATTATTCTTAGTTTATAAGCCCTTCACAGTCCCCCCCTCAAATAGCTTAGCTGGATTTACAATTTGTGCGAGCCTGAATGGGTGGGTGCGTCATCCATCAGCAGGGACTTATTAATCAATGAGTAGGGACTCATCCATTGTGCTGGGTTTCTAATGCTGTCCCTATCCTTAGATCATAAACTCGAGTTGGACACACTAAGACCCACCAGCTTTTAGACAGACACTGTTACATTGCTCAGGACTGAATTGCTCTATGCCCATTGTGTAATCAGAGATCAAAGAAAGCTGTAACAAAAAATTAAGCTAAGATTTCATGGAGGCCCTGGCCAGGTGGCTCAGTTGGTTGGAATGTAGTCCCATACACCAGATGATTTGAAAAGAAGGTTCATGTTCAATCCGTGGTCAGGGACATGCCTAGGTTGCAGGTTCCATCCCTGGTTGGGCACATACGGGAGGCAACCAATCGATGTTTCTCTTACATCCATGTCTCTGTCTCCATCTCTCCCCCTCTTCCCCACCCTCCTCTCTAAAATCAATAAACATATCCTCAGGTGTGGATTGAAAAAAAAAGACTTCATGGAGGAAGTGGAATCCTAGCTGAAAGCTGAGAGGTAGGCAACACACAGAATGAGAGCAAAGGCATGTAATAGATGCAGAGGAAATCTAAAGGAGGGGAAGCTGAGAAGGAGCATGAGAAAAACCCATGGGAGGAAATTAACAAGAGGAGTGTAGGACACTAATCATGGGGAGCAACCAGACACAGTCTTGGCTGGGGAAGGCGAATCCCATTACAGGATGTCTTGGAGGCCAGGCAGAAGCGTTTAAATTTGACTTTATAGATGCCAATCAATAAAAAGGGAAGAGATGGCTTGAGAAGATTATTCTGGCACGCCTATTCAGGCATAGGGCAGAGACACAGCAGGCTCTTCCAGAGCCGAGATGTTGGAAAAGCACCGATAGGGCTTAAAGAGAAATTGCAGATAAAGAGAAGAAATCATCAAACAAGAGTACAAAGTTTCTAGATTCAGAAACTATGAAGACGGAGACATCACTAAAGTCAGCAGGGAACCTGGAAAATAAAGAAGGTTTGAGAATGGCGAGGGGGTGGTTGTGACTTAAGCAGACCCAAGTGGAGCTGGCCTAAGGCCTTTCTATGTCATAATAATGGCCTAAGGCCAAGAATCTACAGCATATTAATGGCACAGGGCCAGAATGGATAGGAAAAGTGACCTATCAACATCTTATATCTATTTAGGAATTGAAAGTCATGCATTATTAATTTTGAGTCTCAAAACCCAGTCTGGTAGCACAGAAATTAATACCTTCATTTCACAAATAAAGAAATCAATGTTTAGAATGAATGTGACATGCCCAAAGTCAAACAGTGTGCGAGCAGAAGAACGAGGAAAAATTCTAGTTGCCTTCTCCTTCCGAGAAGCAAGCAGAGCTCAAAGCCCCTCTTCCAAAGGGGACCCCTAGCGGGGAGGCGGGGGCGGGTGGCTGCAGCTGAAGCCATGAGAACGTTCACGTCTTTGAGGGCAGGAGGGCAGAGAAGTAAAAGGGGGTTGCTCGCAGATACATGCAGTTAATAGGAGTGTGGGAGAAAGCGCACCCAGAGGCTCCGCCAAATTGACAGGAGTACTCAAGAAGGTGGGAAAAATAAAACGGGAAAAGTGCAGAGTCAGGAAAGCCAAAAATGGAGTAAGTGCTCAGTGATCTTCGCTGCCAAAGTTGGAAGATGAGGCTATGGAATGGAAGTGGCAACTCGATGGCTGAAATTTTTTTCAAAAATTTAACTCGAGATATTTATTGGGGGGGGGGTAATTCCCTCAAAATGTCTACCAGTAACAACATCCGCTTGGTGCACGAATAAAAAGGCATTTTATTTTCCATTCATGAAACTTCTATTTCACAAATTATATTTAACAGAATACAACAGAAACAAGTGTGAAATGTTTTTGATGTTTGAAAATTAAAAAGTCTACAAAAACAAAGCCTCTACTGAATTAGTCTTATAGAAATATAATTTGATATTTTAAATCACAGCTCAAATATATGTCGACATAATCTGATATTTCATTTTTTATTTTGCAAAAAAAATATTTTCAGCTTTTACCTTCTCCACATTTGAAAGGCTTTTGATAAACATAAATAACAGTTTACTTTTTGCTGTGATCTATTTTACTAATTCAAAATTCCAGTAAAGGAAAAGAGTAGAAGCTATAAATAAGCAAAGCTACAGCTATAACCAAAGTAAAATTACATATGAATTGACCAACTTCTGTCTTAAGTGGAAGTTAGCATGCAAAGAAAAATGGACTATTTTACCCCAGTTACAACATGACTGATACAAAATATTTTCAACTAAAATCAACTTTCATTACTGATTTTTTAGAACACAGCAGTCTTTGCACAAATGGAGTTTCAAAAGGCCTTTGGAAATTACAAACACCTTAAAGTTTTTAAAAAATGCAATAACAGCAATGAAGTAAAAAATTAAGACAGAGCTAATCAAACAACTTACTACTAACCTTGTTCAAGTCTGAAGAGGGTCTTTTCCAGCTTTTCCATCTCGTTCAGAAGTAAAATTCTAACCTGTTTACCGTGTCCCATTTTGGCTTCTAGAGGATTTGAAGTCTTTCAGCAGAATGAAAAGAACTCCACAGTCAAATGCGCAACCCCTGAAACAAACGCACAACAAAAAAAAATCAAGACAAAGAAAATAACCGTTATCTTAAACTCTAAAAGGCTGACAGCCACACTTACATGTTCTCAATGTGTTTTAACCCTAGCAGAGCAAAGAGAAAGAGTGAATCTTATCAATAAGACCAGAGAGGGCAAATTGATAGTTTCCACACTTGAAGCACAATATGAATGAAGCAAAAGTACTGTTGTATAGAGTCTTACAATTAAAAATAAAAAAACCAAAACCCAAACGCTAAAGTGGGCTCCCAGAAAATGCGTTTGAATAGCAGCCGGGTGGGTGGGGGGTGAAAGTCCCAGCCCCAGGCCAACCGGCTTGGTCGGCTCCAAATAGCACCTCTGCTCCTGGAGGTTGGCCCGTTCCAAGGGAACAGGTGGGAGATCGCCCCGTTCCCGAATTCGGGTCGGAAGCCACCAATGGGGAGATGGGACAGCGGGAAGCAGTTGCTGTCCCTGGAATAGCTGCGGTGGATATAGGCTATGCAGACGGAGCTATAGATAGCAAGAAGGCATGCCCCCCGGAGGCCAGCGGCATTCCTCGCACTTACACCGAGCAAGTTATACCCGCGGCTCCCGGGACACTGCGGGACCCGCCACCCCGGTGTTGAAGTCGGGGAGGGGACGCGAAGGAGCCGAAATTAAAAGCAGGCTGCCGGGGAGGCGCAGCGAGGAGCCCCACTCACGGAGGGCCGGGCGCCGTGAAGGGCAAAGGGAGGGGCAGCTGCAGCGGGCCCCGGCCCAGACCGCGGTGGGCGTGGCCCAGGCGGTGGGCGTGGCCCGGCGCGGTGGGCGTGGCCGAGGGCTAGTCCGGGAGTCCGCCTCGCTCTGGTCCCCGCTGAGACCCTTTGCGCCCCCGGGCCTCCAGCGCTCTCTCCCCGGGTGGCGGCGGACAGCTTTTCTCGTCCACTTCCGGAGGCGCCGGGCCCCCTAGTCTCGCGAGAGCGTGGGTGCGGCGCGCCGGTGCATCGAGGCAGCTGCTGCCCAGGCATCCGGCCACTCGCTTTTCTCTCCCTGCGGGGCGGGTGCGACGGCCGCCGGGTGCCCCTCCTTTCACAGCCTGGGCGCCGCTGAGCCCTCAAGGCGGCGGGGGAAGGCGGCGGGGAAGGCCGCGAGCCAGCCTGAGCTGCCCTGCACTGTCGTTTTGCGGTTCGGCAGGATGGTAGGGGCAAGCGACCTCGCTTCCGGGGCCGCTTCCACCACATGTTTTGTGTCTTGTTTTTTTTTTTTTTTAATTTTTATTTTTTTCCCATGGCCTAAGTCTGCTTGGCCTAAGTTGTCCGAGCCTTGATTTCCCCTGGCTCCATCTTCGATCATGTATTCACCACCTCTGGTCCTATCACGGGGCCAACTCCCTAACGCAGCCGCGGAAGGACTAGGTAGGTGAGGGGCGGCCAGGTAATGACCGACCAGGGCGCGCACCACCGGGGTTCCCGGTGTGTGCCCCGAAGGTCGAAGATCCTGGGAGATCAAGGATCTCTGCTGCCTGTAGCTGCCCATATTTTAGGCCAGAAGCTCAGGATATGGTCCAGACGCCGATGGAGATTTTAGGGAACCCAAGGGGAAAAGGAAACTCGTCATCCACAGTCTTTGAGGGCACCCGAGGCTCGTGAGAAAATGGACCGAAGGGTTGGAGGGTGGAGCTGAATCTTGCTTTGTTCATTGTGACCCTACTGTAGGCTAAAAACTAAGGGTCCTGAAATGTGTGCTTTGGTAGGTTTCTGAGAATGACTGGTTGCCAATGGTGCACATCTGAGTCCGGGAACGCGCACCTCATCTGTTCGTACTAGTTACTCAGTTAATATGGAGAACCTAGGCTTCGCCAGACACACAGGTGCTGTGGAACCCAGCAGGGAAACAAAGTCACGGCCCTCGTGGATCTCCTACCTTTTGTTGGTGGTAGGCAGATAGACAATAAGTGAATTATACGGGAGAATGAGGGGTTGTGAGAAAGCAGAGAAGGGAGGTGTGGAAGAGGAGGGTGTGCAAATAAGAATACAACAGTCCGGAAAGGACTTGCTGGCGAGTTGACATCTTATTCCAAACAGAAAGAAGGAAGAGGCCGCCCAGGGTGGAAGGCCGGGTACACAGGTACCAAAGTGTGAAGGCCACGTGGTGGGAGCATATGTGATGAGTTCGGGGAGGATCTGCCTGTGGCGGAGTGAAGAAGAGAGTGGTGAGAAATTAGGGGAGGTAGGCGGGGTGGGCAGCCAGACCTTGTAGGGCCTTGTAGGCCCTTCTGGGAAAAGGAGCCACTGGAAGGTTGTGAGGAGGGGAGCGGCCTAACTGGATGGCCCTTTGAGAAAGATCCCTGCAACTTCAGGGGGAACAGCTAAATAAACTGTGGGGTGTGGTATGGAAGGAAGCAAGGAGGCCGGTTAGGAAGGTATTTCAAATACACATGCAAGAGGGGCAAGTGTGTGGGAAAAGTAGGTATAGCAGTGGAGGTGGCAAGAAGTTGTTGAATCGTGGATCTCTTTTGAAGGCAGAGCCTACACAATTTGCTGCTGATGGGAAGAAAGAAATTGAGTGTGATTGCAATGTTTTTAGCCTGAGCAATCAGAACATTACCGTCCCATAGAAATATAATGCGCCACCTAGGTAATTACAAATTTTCAAGTTGCCATATCACAAAAGGTAAAAAGAAACAGGCACAATTTATTTTAATAATATATTTTACTTGGTGTATCTAAAATATTATTGCAACATGCAATCAATAGAAAGAGTTATTAATAAGATACTTCAGATTCTTTTTTCACACTAGGTCTATGGAACGGGATGTGTATTTGGCACTTCCCATTGTCTTGATTCCGATAGCTACATTTCAGGTGGATGCGTAGAAGCAGCTGACATTGAAAGAGGAAGAAAATGGTGGGGTGGGCGTGGAGGGTGCGGTTCAGGAGTTTGGTTGTAGACTGTCAAACGTCCAAGTGGAGATACCGAGTTGTATCACTTGTAGCCCTGGTCTCAAAGGTAGTGTTTTCAAATTGTGAGCTGTAACCCACTGAGGGTTGGAAAAAATCCTTTATTAGTTGCGATTTTTCAAAATAAAATAGGAAAGACCTGAATGCAGCACATCTGGTGAGAGTATTATTTCACAAAGCTTCCGTTTCTGTGACTTACATTGTGATGGGTCTTGTATTCCTACTGGGGATCATGGTTAAAAGCAAGTTTGGGAGCCTCTGCTCTAGAGTGTATGCTGCGTACAATGCAAATTCCTAACTCATAATCCTAAAATGCTGCCTGGGTTTGAATCCCAGCACTGCCACTAGCTAGCGGTGACGCTTTGGGAGATACTCTACCTCTCTGTGCTTTGGTGTTTCCAACGCCAAAGTGAGTACCAACGCTGGAGCGGAGTGGGCCCCGACCACGGTGGGAAGCGCAGTTGACGCCCGGCCATCCGGGGCTGTTCTCCGGGCGCCCGAAGTGGGCCGGTCCCGCAGCAGAGCTCTCACCGTAGCGCCCAGGCCGTCAGCTGGGAACACGCAGTAAAACAGATCGAAGAACACAGTAGTGAATTATTCTTACATAAGTGCTTGAATTTGGAAAGATTTGTTAATTTAAATGACCTTCATCGTGGAGATTTCATATTGTGAAAGTGAAGGATGTTAAGTCATGGACACATGATTTAATGGGCTGTGCCACTAAGATTAATTTTACAAGTACATAAGTTTTTCCTGTTTTTTTTGTTTTAAATTTAGGGAAGTCACACTTGTGTGCTATTTGTGAAGTTCTTGGGATGCCAGTGAGTTTGCCGTCTTGGGCCCCAGTGGTGCCGTGAGCAGCCTTCGTTTGGGGGAACATCTGTCATGTGTCTGTCTTGTGCGCGACAGAGATCTATATATACACAATCATCTCAATGCTGGCATTTCCAGGAGGAAAATATCCTTGAGGAGCATCCAAGGGATCATCTCAGCTACTCGGCGCGACTCCGGTGTTTTCTGAAACATCGGTGCTAACAGTGGGGGGAGGGCTGTGGTCAGAGGTGGCTCCTCTGGCTGCGTTTGTAGGGGTGTGTTTTTCTGAAAGGAAGGACTTTATTTGAGGTATTACTTACAGTTAGGTCCCAATCCTGTGATCTGCTGGGTCTGAAGTGGGCGGGGCTGCCTTTTTCAGCTTTTATAATCTTCAGTATATTCTGCGTCTGTTACTTTGTGGTGACTGTGTACCCATGTTATTATTAATTTTCTTTTGTAAAACTTAGAGTTGTGTTCCCAAAATCCCTTCTAAGTTGAGCAATTTATTCTCTGCACTTTGAAATGTCCAGAGAGAGCCAGCCGGTGAAGAGAACAAGGGAAGTAGGAAGGGAAATAGAAGTCAGAGAAGTAGGAGGATCTGAACGTGAGGGTATAGGGGGTGGAAAACCAGAGAGAGATTTTTCCGAAGGGAGATAGTACAACATAAATAAAATGGACTTAGGAGAAGACATACCTCAGACTAGTTTTAAGCTCTCTGAATCACAATGGATTCATTCATAAATGGAGAGAACGCCTCATTTGAGGGGTCCATGTGAAATTAGGTGAGATATCGAAAGCAATGAGAGTGTCTGTTATAGCACTTAGCCTGCCTGTGGCTTTTATAAGTGGTAGCCTAGAAAAAGAAGAGGCGACAGATAGTCGTCTTGCTGGGTCAAGCATGGCAGTTGGACAGATCAGGGTGTGAGGGACACAGACAGAATCAAACGGTCCCTCACACCAGGAAGAGAGAGTTGACAGGTGGATCCAGAGAACATAGTCAGCCCAAGATTTGAGCCTAAAGTATAGAAAACAGAGGAAGGGCAGAACCTAAGAACCACGTAAGAGTGAGTTGGTGTGCAATCAATATTTGCGGTTGAATTTATTGAGATGTACATATATGGAGGTACATTTAGCTGTAGTTCTAGTTAAACAAAAAACAGAAAACAAATCTTGGGCCCTTAGAGCTTGCGGAAGGAAAGTAGTTTAAAAATTCTAAAGCACTGACATAACAAATTAGCTAAAAAAAAAAAGTATATGGAATGCTTGGAGATCATGATAGGAGGAAACTCGGGAGGTCTTTTTAGTGGCGACCTTTTCTTTGTTCTTAGGATAGATCCTTTAATAGTGCTTTTGGGCCCCTCATTTAAGGATCAAGCATTTTACCCTTGCGAATAAATTTAACTTCCAGTCAGAATCTTGGCTCCAGCATTTCATGAGGAAGGGTTTGGAGCTGGCAGTCTGGTTGGGGAGAAGGGCCAGGCCAGGAGGGCTTGGAGCTGGTTTTCTGAGTTTGTCATGGGCTCCCAGAGCTGCGTACGACAGATGACAGAGGCTGTTTTAAACGGGGGACACGGTTATTCCTGTCTCACCTGTTT